GACAAACGACAGATGACAGACAGAGACAGACGGTCGTCCAGAGCGGTCGTCTGTCTGTCGTCTGTCTGTGTAGGTTTTTATTAATATACAGATAATCTCCGAAACTACTGGACCTGCAGTTGTCAAGCTGTATGGGTATTTTAGGAATATCGTGCACATGGTAAAACACTAACCAACATTTTTCTAGTCATCCCTACTAACAAGGAAATGACGTCTCCTCAAAATTTTTCACAGTAAATAGGATTTAAATTTTATAAAATAACATACTATTCTACTTGTTGTTTATGAATCCGCCTTGAGATCCCAATTTTCAGAAAAAATTTATACTATTATAAGCTGACACAAAAATATTTGACAGCACATTGCTTACGCAGGACAGCTTCGAACTTGTAAGGTGAAGGTCGCGCAGGTTCGATTCTCCCATGGTTTTTTTTTTATTTTTTACACTGTTGCTGCTATTATCAATATGTTTTTATATACCGAGTGTCTGGAAAATATCGGATGAACTCTTCAGTACGTTATGTTCGGGGGTTTCGGGAGCCCCAAAAAAATAATAAAAAAATCCTTAATGACGTAGATTTCTGATTTCTCAGTAACGATGGTGACTGAAATCCACCTTTTACTCTTTTTTTAGGACAATAACCATAACAACCAGTAGCCATTAATCGTTGTGCATTGTTATTAATAGAACAAGCTGTTATTTTTCATGAACCAAAAAAAAACATTTAATAAGACATATATAAATTATAAACAAAAACAAAAACAACAAAAGAAAAATCCATTAAAGCATAACCAACTAAACACTAGAGAAGATGCTCAAAATTCCTACCTTGTAGATATTAGTAAGCTCGTAATGTTTCCAAATTTTGATAATTTTTTGTAAAAGTTATTCATCAGTACTTGCTAAGAAAAACTGATTTTGGAAAATGACATACCCTCTAAGAAAAGAAAGGGTGGGTGGGCGGAGCTAGTACCTGTTAAGATAAGACTGATTTTAGCAAATGAGATACCCTCTAAGAAAAGAGAGGGTGGGTGGGTGAGATTAGTGAGGAGATACACAAAACAAAACAATTTATAATTTTTTTCACAACCGCACATCCACGAATATTTATTATACGTACTGCGTCTATTCAAATATCTGTGAAAGTCCCTCGTTTTGCCATGAACACTTTTTTTTATTAATAAATCGGGGGCTCTTCCTAAAATTTTTGACTAAAATTTCATCGCCGTGACACAGAAGACAATTTTTTATTAAATATTCAACAGAATTCATTATTTTTATTTAACATCAAACAATTTCACTCGCGCAGAATGAAAATTAAAACCCGCAATTGAATTACTGCTGGTGGACACTGACGGAACAGGACCGGACTCCAGCCCAATACCGCGACTAGACGGACGGTTTCCATGGCAACGGTGTAAACAAAACGTCTAAATGAGCCATAATTTGGTCTCGGTCTCCGCTTTTATGAACAATTTTATACAAGTGGAGCGAGATAAAAAATTTAGTTTTGATAATCATGACACAAATTTCAAACGATTCTTTTTTTTTACAATTTTTTCCCAATTAAATTTAAATTAACAGCAAGTATTTTTCGACACAGGAAAATGAAGTCTGCGAAAAATTCTCAAAATCCTCAAATCACCAAATCTTCAAAATTCTCTAATCACCAAATTCTCAAATCGTCAGAAACCTCAAATTACCAATCCTCAACTTCTCAAAATCATCAAATTCTCAAATCACCAAATCCTCAGGTCTTCAAATCTTCAAACCCTGAAAATTCTCATATCACTAAATTCTCAAAATCCTCCAATTACCAGTTCCTCAAATCCTCAAATTACTAGATGCTTAAATCTTCAAAATCCTCAAATCACCAAATCCTCAACTCAACAAAATCCTTAAATCTTCATATCACTAAATTCTCAGGTCTTCAAATCTTCAAACCCTGAAATTCTTCAAATCACCAAATCCTCAATATCCCCAAATCGTCAAATCCTTGAATCCTCAAAATCCTCAAATCACCAAATCCTCAAATCAACAAAATCCCCAAATCCTCAAATCACCAAATCCCCAAATTCTCAAATCACCAAATCCCCAAATTCTCAAAATCCTCAAAATCTCCAAATCATCAAATCCTAAAATTCTCAAACGACCAAATCCGTACCAGGTGTTCATGTAATGCCCCCTTAAAAAGTTGATAACGTCATCTCAAAGTTTACCGAATAAATTCTCTCTACTACTTTCATGTTTTCTCGACGTTTCATAATCCCTAGAATATGAAAAAATAGGTCTCCCGTCTGTCTAGACAAGTAATCTCCGAAACTACTGGACTAATTGTTATCAAATTTTGCAGGTATTTTAGGAATATCGTATAGTGGTAAAGGTGCTAACTAAAATTTGTCCAATCATCACCACCCACAGTTTAATGACATCACCTCAGAATTTTGCATGGTAAATGGTATTTAAATCTTATAAAGTAAACTACTCCTGGGCGTTCAACAAGCCCTCATTTTGGCTTATTGTAATTATTGTAAGATAAAAACGCGAAGTCGGAAGTTCGGTCCCCTTTTTTTCTTACACTGTGACTGGTATTTTCTTTTTTTTTTTCTAAAATAACTGGATTTGCTTGATTGTACTTCTTCAGGGGCGAGAGAAGTTCTGTCTAATAACATTCCCTTTGCTTTTTGCTACAAAATGATCAAGAGAAAAAATGTTGCCGTTTATTTAAATCTAAATACGTATGAGTATCCAATGAATCAAAAAAGAATCATCACCCAATATACTTATTATTAAATTCGTAGTAACATTATGAGGATACTACGTTTAGAAAGTTAGGGAAATTAAATAGGTACCTTGTTTTTAACGTAATCTATAAAACTCTTCATACATGGCCCTCTAAAACGCCTAGGTACACAGTTCTATAAAATATGTCCGAAAAGCAGACTATTTATCTAAAAATTTTGATGTGAACAACTTTCTGAAGGAGATGAATAAATAAATTTTCGTTTAAATTCTAAAATCCCCAATTCAGTATCTTACCAATTTTTTTTTTAATATTTTATGTAACTGACAGTATGTAAAACATTTAGTGAAAATTTAACTAAACAGTTATCTCAAAAAATTGGTCTAAAGTTATTTAGATAAAACTTCCATCGCCCCTTAAATATACTCGAACAAATCCAGTTTTTTACAAAAATTATAAAATTTGAAGTTGTAAAATTACTTTTTTTTAAAATAACCCCTATAAGTAAAAAATATAGATAATTACAAGTCACAGTGAAAAAAAGCACTCGGTAAGGATGGGATTCGAACCCATACGGCGTAGCACACAAATCTGAACTGAGACAAATACTTCACGTCAATTTTAGACGCAAAAGCGAGATATCGGCTACATAAACCACGTGAAAAATATTGCACAAAGAAATTACAAAGTAATTGTGATAGGAATCACGAAGGAGAATTCATAAACTACAAATATAGGAGTATATAATTTCATAAAATTTAGATAATCATAACTGCGCAATATAATAAGTGGACGTCAACACATTGTTGTTGGGAATGAATTTTGTTTAGCGTTTTAGCTTCTATACGATACTCCAAAAATACATATAAAATTTGATGACAATCGGTCCAATAGTTTGGGAGATTTTCTGCCTAATAAAAATCAATACAGACAAACACACGACAGACATACGGAAACGAGAGACCGCTTTTTTCGTACTTTAGGGCTCATGAAACGTTGAAAAAATATGAAAGTATCCAGTGTTCCCCACGGACTCTATTACAATTAAAAATATTAAGTAATATCTCTTTCTTTAAGTAAATAATGAGAGATTATTTAACATTTCGTAAGATTGAAATAACTATAGTTAATAGTACTGTAGAACTGTGGTAGTTCTGGTATTAGCTTTCCATAAAATCCACCAGAATACAGAAAATTTCAAACCTATTTTTAGTAAGTCCAATATCATTTCCGATTTTTTACAGAATTTAATTATTTTTAACTATATACTGGAAAATGGAAATTATCAAAGAACACTGATGACAATGCCCAATGAAACTGAAAGATTGCATAGGTTATAGTTAATACAATGTTTTACAAAAGGCAAATTATTTGATGATAATTTAAGATTGCTAAACATGGAACCAGTCAAATATTTTTCAAAATAACTTCGCATATTTGCGATGTCTCTTTTAAAATTACATTTAAATTACAATAAATAAATTAAATAATTTCCTAGGTGGACAAAATATTACATTTTTACTTCTGTCAACAAGCTTTAACCACCATAAAACGTTCATGACCAAACTTCAATAACAATTTATACGAGATTTGTCGCCCCGGATTTATGATCGATGTTGGGTTTGAAAAGCGTAATTTAAAAGTTCCGTGTACTGCAACAGACACACTTACACGACGTGAAGTGTCGTCAAAATAAATCACATAAATCTACACTTTTTCTGTCTACCCACATCAACAAATCTTCCATGATTTATGACTCGAAAATAGTGAAACATTTCTGCTACACTTATTACTATGCTTTGGAAAGCAAATTGTACATTGCTACTTTTTTTTTCCAAAATCGATCGAACTCATTAACACGAAAAGTCTTCCACGTAGTAATTATTCTAGCGACGCTTTCCAACCTGAACGCATTTTCGTTTTTGCTTTTGCAAACTAATTTCGACTGCACTGATGCATAACGCATTAACTCGCAAAAGATTTGTCGTTTTTCGGTCGAATGCAACAGTTGTGTGTAAACACAGCTCGAATTAAAGCCCCTTCAGCATACATCATTGATTTATCGCAACAGCATGGGTAATAACGCCCACATCATCGCTGTTAAAATTGGAAAAGCATTTTAATGCTTCGGCTTGGAAAACGTCGGAAAACCTCATATCTAAACTATACATTGTAGCTGAAAATCGTTATTTAAAACCCGCACCCTCATCACTGACCCAGATCTGTTTTCTTCAATTAAGACAAATTTGTTCGCAGGATATTAGTAAGAGCCATCAGTTACACGGTCCACGGACTGATTCCTGCCAGTTGTGTCTTTGCCGATCGTTATAATCGTGAAGAAGTCGTAAGATCCTTAGGTAAAGAAGTTAACATTAATCCTCCCCTAACTTTGGGACAACTTCCCGATACCCCAGAAGAACTATTGAAGTTGGATCAGGTAAGTGAAAAGTTTCCTACTCTATCAAAAATCAACTTCTTACTTCCTGGCTATAAATTAACGTTGTGTAGCAACCGGTCCTATTTTGTTTTTATTCGGAAAATACAAATGAAACTCTTGTTTTCTCTCAAAATATTATTCGGCCAACTGAAGCGATGCCAGCGTATCGACTGAAAATGTTAAAAACAATTTTTTTGCCAGCCTGGGGCGAAACACTTACTTCGGTTAAATCTAAAACAAACCAGAGAGTAGAATGGAAAGTGAGAAGTATAATTTCGAAAGGATGAGGCTTTCAAGAAAAAAGCCGACATGTTCTTAAATTAAATTTCTGTATAGGATAACACTGTAACGAACGCTTTCATAACGCTGGAAAGTTATGGCGGTTATTTTATGACTTATGAAAGTGAAAGACGTACAACGTTTCAAATCATATACTTCCAGCTACGTTACCTACATAATTAATTTCATCGAAGAGATTACGGAACAATAATGATAAATCTAGCTAAGTAAGGTGCCAGGACAACCCGGAGTCAGTTTCATAAAACCGCCATGAACCTGACGGGAAACTGTTGCTACGGATTAGCCAATTAAGTCACCGTTACGTTAGCAACCCCTGCCAGAACGATTCTCTGTCAGCATTCAAGACAGTTTTAATGAGAATAACGCTCCAATACAAAACAAGCATTTTCATTATCATCATTTTTACGATTTCTTGCGCGTTAATTTGGTGCGGAAAATAACTCCATGAGTTACCGGATGACTGTTAATGAGTGAAGCAAATTTCGTGTTGGCACTTCTGAATTATTGGCATCCATGCAGTTCGTCAGTTCACAGTTGTCAATTTTGACATAAACATGCCTAGCAAACGTGTTGAGTGGTGGCAGCTGTCATAAATGTCACTTTGGCAAACAGGTATGTCATCATAAAATTTTAAATTGGTTGCCAACCTGACAAAGAAATCACTAACACACAAAAAACTGACACCCCCCTGAGGCAGTTAAATAAAATTATAATAATCATTTCAATACGTGTTATAGAAAAAAAATGACAGCCCATAACAGAAAGCTTGAATATGACACAACTTCAACTTGTTGTCTAAAAGATCACCCTCAATTTTTTTCATCAAAATCAAAAATCATGCACCACCTCATTTGGTGGTTTCATATGGAACAACCCGTATGTTTTTTTTTATTATTTCTGAAATTTTCAAATATTAATGCTAATTTTATACAGTCACTCGAAAACTAAATAGTACGAAATTTCCAAAATTATTTACCAAAAATGTTCAAATATTTTAATCAACCCAAGGCAAAATAGTTACAAAGCGAAGAACAATCTTAATGGTTAATCGAATTACAAAAGCTATAAAGACGTTTATAAACAAGTTGCACACAAACTTTTTTCCACGTACATATTAATAATATGATATTTCGGTGAAACCGTAGAATAGTTATTTGCGTTACGTTCAGAATTTGTTTAAAAGCAATTTATATAAATAAATAAGATTTTAATTTGTGTGAAAATATAACTGTGGAATTCCCACTGATTTAAGTGGGATAAGTTTAAGAACATATTAAACTAATATTACCGCACTAGTTTACGTAAGTCATCTAAATGCAATAAGTGAGGTTTATCACACTTGAAATCTAAAAATTATAACAATCGAGAAACTGAAAAATCCAAAAAGTATAAAATTGAAAAATTGTAGACGTAACATTCCACATAAAAAACTGAAAAAGCGAAAAACTGGAGAAATAACGAACGAAAAGTTAAATAAAAATAAAAAAGTGAAAGAAAAACTGAAAATCGAAAAATTGAAAAATTGAGAAACTGAAGAATTTAAAAATTGAAAAATAAATTTCAAAATCTAAAAATTGAGAAATCTAAAAATTGTAAAATCAACAAATTGAAGAATTAAATAAATTGCAAAATTAAAAATCTAAAAATTACCAACCAAAAAAACGAAGAGACTAATTGGAAAAAATTTAAAATCGAAAACCTGAAAATCAAATACTCGCCAATCAAACAAATGAAAAAATGAAAAATTGAAAAACTGAAAATTAACAATCGAAAAACTGAAAAATCGAAAAATGGAAAAAACAAGAAATTAAAATATCTAAATACTGAAAAATCCAAAAATGTAAAATCGAAAAAGTGAAGAAACGAAAAATTCAAAGTCGAAAACACGTAAATTGAAAAACTGAAAATCGAAAGATTGCTACACAAAAAGTAGGAAAATGAAAAATTAAAAATCAAACATTTGCTAATAAAAGTGAAGACACGAAATATACTACAATCGAAAAATTAAAAAATCGAGAAATAAAAAAAAGTTTTAAATAAATTAAAACCTACAGAATAAAAATATTGGAAAATTAAAGATCGAAAAACTGAAAAAACTAAAAATTGAAAAATCTAAATATGTAAAATTGAGAACCTGGAAAATATAAAAACTGAAAATTGAAAAACTGCGAAACGAAAAAAACGAAAAATTAAAACTCGAACATTTTTTAAGTGAAGAAATAAAATATAGAAAAATCGAAAAATTAAAATCGAGAAATTAAAAACTTAAAAACTGAGAAATAAATTATTGAAAACCTACAAATTGAGAAATCGAAAAATGTTAAAATCGACAATTCAGGAATAAAAAATTGAAAAATTCAAAAATTTAAATCGAAAACCTGAAATATGAAAACACTGTAAATTGAAAAACTGAAAATCGAAAGATTGCGAAACGAAAAATTGGAGAAATGAGAAATTAAAAAATGAAAAGTTAAATGAAAAAAGTGAAGAAACGAAAAATTGAAAAATCTAAAAATTGCAAATTAAGTTTAAAAATCTAAAAATTGAGAAATCTAAAAATTGAAGAATTAAAAAAATTGCAAAATTAAAAATCTAGAAATTACTAATCGAAAAAATCAGCAGACTAAAACCTGAAAAATCGAATACTTGCAAAACACCAAACAAAGAAACGAAAAATTGAAAAATTGAAAACTAACAATCGAAAAACTGAAAACTCGAAAAATGGAAAAACAAAAAATTAAAATATCTAAATATTGAAAAATCCAAAAAATGTCAAATCGAAAAAGTGAGGAAACGAAAAATTAAAAATTGAAAAATTCAAACTCGAGAACTTGTAAATTGAAAGATTGTGAAACGAAAAATTGAAAAATTAAAAATTAAAAATTGCTAATAAAAGTGAAGGCACAAAATATATAACAATCGAAAAATCAAAACATCAAGAAATTAAAAAACCAAAAAGTTTAAAAATAAATTAAAACCTACAAATTGAGAAATCTAAAAAATGTAGAATCGAAAAACTGAAGAATAAAAAAATTGAAAAATCAAAAACCGAAAAATTGAAGAAATGAAAAAACTAAATTCAAAACACGAACATTTTTTAAGTGAAGAAATAAAATATAGAAAAATCAAAAAATTAAAATTTAGAAATAAAAACCTAAAAATTGAGAAAGAAATTGAAAGATGTTAAAATCGAAAATTCAGGAATAAAAAAATTGAAAAAACAAAAATCGAAAAAGTAAAACTGAAAATTGAAAAATTGAAAAATTTAAATCGAGAACCTGTAATATGAAAAAGATGAAAATCGAAAAAATGGAGAAACGAAAAGTTCAAAAATTAAACATAGGAAATTTCAAATTGAAGAAGTAAAAAAAAACGAAAGAATGAAACATAGACACATTAAAAATGTAAAAATTGAAAAATTGATAATCGGAAAATTTCAAATCGAAAAGTAGAGAAACGAAAATTGGGAAAATCGAAAAATTGAAATTCGAAAAACTGAAAAATCTAAAAAATAATGGAGAAATTAATATATTTCAGGTACAATAAAATTGAAAAAACAAAAATTGAAAAAGTAAAAAAACTGAAAATTTTGAAATTGAAAGATTTAGATCGAGAACTTGAAATATGAAAAAGATAAAAATCGAAAACATGAAAAAATGAAAAATTAAAAAATTAAAAATCGGAAAATTTTAAATTGAAAAAGTAAAATAAACGAAAAAATGAAATATAGACAAATTAAGAATCTAAAAATTGAAAAACTAAAACTTGGAAAATTTCAAATCGAAAAGTAGAGAAACGAAAATTTGGAAAGTCAAAAAATTAAAAATCGAAACACTGAAAAATCTAATAATGGAGAAATTAATGTATTTCACGAATAAAAAAATTGAAAAAATAAAAATCGCAAAAGTAAAAAAACTGAAAACTTAAAAAATTAAAAATTTAGGTCGAGAACCTGAAATTTGAAAAAGATGAAAATCGAAAAAATGAAGAAACGAAAAGTTCAAAAATTAAAAATAGGAAATTTCAAATTGAATAAGTAGAAAAAACGAAAGAATGAAACATAGACAAATTAAAAATGTAAAAATTGAAAAATTAAAAATCGAAAAACTGTAAAATCTAATAATGCAGAAATGCATTAAAATATATATATGAAAAAAATATATATCGAAAAACTATCAAAGAAACTGAAAAATTACAAATAGAAAATTGCAAATCGAAAATTTTGCTAATTGAACAATTAAAGAAAAATTGAGAAATCGACATATTAATAATCGAGAAACTGAAAAATCAAAAACTGAAAAAATGGAAAATTAAATTATCTCAAAAATAAAAAAAAAAATTTAAACCAAAAATCGAAAAAGCAAAAAATTGAAAAATTAAAAAGTTGAAAAATCGAGAAATTGAAAATTTTAAGATTGAAAACTCGAAAAATCGAAGAAACAATAATTAAAAGTTAACAGAAATATTAAAGTCGCAAAGCAAACAGTTTAAAAATTTGGACAAATATTACGAATCATCAAAAAATGGAAGACCTACGTTGTACCGTAAACAATCTTTGAGGTTTTGTTAATTTTGTAAATAACGAGCAAAAAAATTGAATAAAAAATCGAACAAAAAAATCGAGCATGATAATTAATTGTTGTTTTCAATATACAGACCAAATTATTTGTTTCATCAAAATTTTAAATGGCCCACAAATGAAAACAATAAACACTATGGCGATCTGGGATGCTATTCTCGAGCCTTCGTTATCGTAACGTATACGTTGTTTAGCGACACTGTATTCTTGACCGTTCGTTATAAATCGCATACGTTATTTAGCGAAGATTTTTAGTCTTTAAGCATCGAATAGGTATTGAAGTGACGGATCAAATAGTATTCTGTGCTTGTCAACTTTGCTTACAGATTCAATACGAAAAAGGCATACAACACAAATATTTAAAATGGACGAGTTAGTGCAAATTTTAGAAATTGAACACCTACAAAATTTAGAGGGACAAGTTGAGCATGGCAAAAGGCTACGCAGAAATCCCAGAAATCCTTTTGCGGAGCTTAATGAGAGGCAATTTAATAACATGTTTCGATTAACAAAACAATTAACTCAATTTTTAATTTAATTAACATTTTGCAACCTTTTCTTACACCTCCCTTACGCGCTGCCGATTTAAGTATTCAAACAAAGGTAAATATATTTCTTTATTATCAAATGCTAAAACTTATATCTTTTATAAAAAATTTCCTAGGTCTTAACTGCATTAAGATTTTTTGCAAGTGGAAACAGCTGGATATAGGTACTAATAAATACTTAGCTGTGTCGCAGCCCAGTGTTAGTCGGTGTGTAAACGAAGTAGCCAGTGCCTTAAATGATCCTCAAATATTTAATGGCTACATAAAATTTCCTAATAATTTTGAAGATCTAAATAGACTTAGGCAAGGGTATGTTATCAATTATCATCAAAATGCAAATGTTTTAAGTTTCAAGTATATGAATTATACGGTATATGTATGTTGTTTTTCGGAGCATTTTGCTCCTCTTTTATTGTTCTGCTTATCCATTTATTAAACAGGATACGAATAATTAAAAAAAATTGAATTGTCACTCTTATGTGTCACCTCTTGTGGTTCCTAGGACACGGGTAAAATTTAAACATTTTTACAATGTTGTCAATGTTTGCTCTGCGCTAAACAGCGAATGTTCGTTACGGCGTAACGAATATTCTCCAGAATAGATTTTTTGTAAAGTGTTCGCTATATTTTAATCGCTAAATAACGTATGCGCTATTTAACGCATAAAGTCAAGAATAGCACCCCAGGTATTCTATATCCTGACATTCAACTGAAATGTCAAAAATCCAAAACCCCCCAAATTTAAAAATGTGGTCAGATATCACGGATCACCAAAGAAATAATTGTTTGCAACGTTGATATATTAATTAAATGTAAGTATATTTAATTTTACAGTTCTTATTAATTTGTAAAGACCTGAAGCTGGCTTGTTAATTAGTCGAAACGTGTCGCCGAAAAATAAATAATCCTGGATAAAGAGGTTTTTGAAAAGGGTATTAACAAAAAATGAGGGAAAAATGGTCAGTGCAAAATAAATTGCTAAAATTTCACATACATATTCCAAAAAATAAGTACAACTAGAAAATTTTCAACTTAACACTACGTAAATTGTTTCAAACTAGCAATATAAAGCACATCGCATGCATAACACATTTGTGCAAAATCAAAAAATGTAACTAAATTTAATTAGTTATACATTTTATATGGCTCAAAAAATTCGCAAGTTTTAGTAAACACACATTTTATTTTTATTTCTTGAAAGCCGTCAGTTTCATGCTAAATCTACCCACAAAGTCAATAATATACAGATATAGTATTAGAAATTTCGTACTCTGACAAAGAAATATTGGCACGAGAAATGTCTCTTAAATAAACTTGATGGGTTTTAGAAAATGAAAGCAGAACTTATTTACTTAACGATTGCAGCTAGAAGTGTCAATAAACAAGTTCTCGATTAAATGGTAAATTAAGGCAAACGAGTAATTATTTTTGCAATGTTATCACTCCTAATTTTGACTTTACTACGCTGAGATTCAGGCAATTTTACAGAAGTTAATTAAGAGTTCTATCATCTAATTCATAAAACTAATGAAAGTACAAACAAAAACACAACTGACCAAAATTTAATTACGACCGGAATCAGTAAACTTAATATTCATTCAAGTACGCAACATAATGGTAAAAATCGACAAACTGAAATTGTGTGTTATAATCTCTATTGAAAAATTTACGACGCAATCCATTTCCTTTAATTTACGGCGTAAGCAAGAATGCGGCGATCAATTTTTCCAGGTTTGAGTCGGAACTCCAGGTGTTCCAAATTTCGCTGACGACGGGAATAACACGAAAACAAAATATACGACATTTTTTTAGATCCCGCAATATAAGGTATACTTTTGGGATTTACAGCGTTCATTAGCTTTATGGAGCTTTTACGGTCTTAATTCTCACCGTGTGCACCGCATTTGGAAGATAGATAATAAAGCGATGTCATATTGTGGTAATTAAGTCGCGCAAATTTTTGTTGAAGGTTTTCATAAAATCGGAACTGAAAGTGGGCGTTATTTACGTGAAAGAAGGACAATACACCGAAGAAGAGATACTAGACAATAACGATAATTCGGTGCTGTTCGAGGAGTTCCTGCAGATTTTCGGCGAGAAAGTGCGTCTTAAAGGCTTCGATAAATACAAAGGGGGTTTGGATACGGTTCACGATTTAACAGGTGCTCTTGTTGTGTTAGCGTTACTCCGGCTGAAGCCTGATGATTTTAGGATTATATTCGGTTTACACGAACTGGAGGAACATTGAAATTATGTTCCATGTCAGCACCTTGTTGCCGTACGAGAAGCACGACCCTCAAAAGCTGCAAAGGAAGAGGCACATAGGCAACGACATCGTGTGTGTGGTGTTTTTGGAAGCCGATAATACGGCCTTCTCGCCCGCTTGTATCAAAAGTCACTTCCTCCACACCTTCATCTTAGGTGAGTTTTGTTTTCCTTTCCTCCTCGCGCTACGAGCAAATATTAACTTTCCCACTCGAGAAATATTCAATCAATTTGGAAATTGAAAAATGTTGCTTTAACTCCCATCCAATATAAAACTTTGTGGAAGTCGTTTATAATACGGTTTTCAAACTTTCAGTGCGAACTTCTCCTAGAATTAAGAGGAAACCCACTCGATATGAAGTGTCAGTTGTTACAAGAGATGAAGTGGGTGCCTACAAGCCTTATCTATGGGAGCAAAGTGTTTTCGACAAGGGACCGATGTTCAGGGAGTGGCTGCTTACGAAAATCGTCAACGGCGAAAGGGCTAGCTACTCCGCTCCCAAGTTCGCCAGGATGCAGGAAAGAACGAGGTCTCAAATGCTCGAGGACATCGTCGCCAACCTACAGAACCACGCAGAGACTGGACAAATTCCCAAGCCTTATAGAAGAGGTACGTCCACGACCGTATTTATTTTCACTTCACGTTGCATCACATTCTATCGATAATTCATTTTCCAACAGTTAACGAGCTCAGTCTTTTTTACTTGTCAGACAGTTGTCGCTTCAAACGATATAAATATTGATCTATCCGTGCGATAAATGTTTAAAATGCGAACACGTGTTGAAAGAAAATGCTTACAGTGTTTGCACCAGTGTCATAAAGTAATTATGCCCGATTTATACCTACCTACTCGACTAATGGAACCGCGAACACTAACTCTGACGAAAAAACTTGATGGATAATTTCCTTACATGCAATACGAGTATATATTTGCTCTGATTAAACGATCTTATTAAATCGTCTGTAAGATTGATTACTACCTTGTTCATACGAAATAGCGCCCCGACAACACCAAAAGAGTTTTACTAACAAAATCAAGCTGATCAGAATCTTAATAAACCTACGTCTGAAGGTGTTGACCACGCCCCTTTTCCCCACTTACCATTAAATTAAATATAGAGAAACAAAGATAGGACCAGCGTTGGTGTTGAGCATACTATTCTTGCTTTTAAATATTTATATCAACTCTGAAACATTTAGAAGTTTACAGTTACAAACTGCTCTAACTGTCTTAAATACTCTTCATCCACTTTATAGTTATTTGCAGTTCCCAAGAAGTTAGAAAAAGTTCTTGAATAACTTCGTATAAAACTGATTTTCACTTCTACACCGAGTCATCTAGGCAATCCAAGGGAAAAGTAGGACACTATAAAACCAACTATAAAGAAATTCATCGTTACAATTTTTAATTTGAAAAGTCAAGTATTGGTCAAAATATTTTTCAAAACATACCTTAATTTAAGAACACAAAAAAGCCGCACTTGTTTAAATGTTTCAGATACGCAGTGTCTATTTTACAAACTATTCCCAGTAGCTGTCTTTACCCTGTGCTCCCCTAAGAATCGAAGACAGGTTTATAGTGAAACTGCCAAAGAGATTTCGTTCAAATGTCCCGATAAAGCTATTTTTCTTAGTAAAGTTTAGTAAAGTTTATTCGTGCCGAAGTATAAAAACTTTACACATGTCAGATCCAACAATTAATATAATTTATAATAACTCACCTGAAAAATAGATAATTAATTACAAAAATCAATGAGAAAAAATTTTTAATTGTTCTGATTGATTTTCTAAAAATTCCTGAAGAAGATCATTCAAGTAAATCAAGAATTAAATAGGCCTAAAAGAGAACCCTTGAAGATTCCATATTTTATATACCTACTTTTTTACAGATATAATTTCTTCAAGCTTAACCCTTTGTTAAATTACAAAATTAGTTTGAGTAACAATGTCTCGTGTGAAACGCAATCAAAATATAATTATATAATTTTCTGTGTCGAAAGCAGTAATAATATAGTGAATAGTTTATTTTCATTAAAATAATTAACAATTTGTTATAACAATTTCTCCAAAATTTTCAAAAGTACCGATTACTGTCGACAGTGTCGGATTATGCCACCAGGACACCGGGAAATTTCAGACGCATAAAAAACGATATATGTTTAAATATTAAATAAGAGCATCTTTTTACTTTCAGAGCGTAAACTCATTACGAAACAATAGGTTGCCCGTTTCCGTTTGTCTGTCTGCCGTCTGTCCGGATTTTTATTAGACAGATAATCTCGGAAACTACTGACGCAGGTGTCAAATTTTATATGTGTATTACGAATATCGTGTAGATGATCAAAAATTGGCTAATCATCCCTACCAATACAATTTGCTGACATCATGTCCAAAATTTTCAGTAGTAAATTTCAATTGTATAAAATAAGATACTCCTACACATGTGGTTTATGCACCCGTGTTGAATTTTTATCCTAGACATCCAGATTTTTGGAGAAAAAAATCAAAATTACAACATCTGGCAATTTAACTTTGTAACAAAACCGAATACTTTGAAATTTTGCAAACATTTTAAGGTTATCATAACCATTATAAATCGTTAATCAATTTTTTCGTTTATGCCCCTCTAAACCAATAATGACATCATTTTACAATTTTGCCGATTTAATTTATAAGTATTTACCAAATATAATGTTACGAAATAAACCCATACACCGCCCCGGTGTGACGCCTGTGGCACGTCGAGAGTTTTCTCGTATGTACGGCGGCCGGAGATCGCTAAAGAAAAGCCTGGAAGCGGAAGTCGCAATGGACAACCTAGAAAAATCTCGAAGCGGCGGTCTCGATCCATCGAGAGAAAAGCATAGGTTAAATAGAGGCCACCATGCGTGTTCAGAATCCAGTTGCGCCGGAATTATTTTGTACATAGTCGCTGTGTAATTCGACGTGTAAATTTGAGTTACTAAGAAATAAATTGTTGAGTTTTATCCACGCCGATTTTATTCCCCGAGCAACGTAACAATAAGTTTTGGTGATTCCAAAGGCATTGTTTATTTCAAATCCAATTCTCATGTGAAGAACTCGGGTTTAAAGATTGGATTATCAGATGTATCAGATGAAATTTCTAAACTGAAATCAGTAGAAAATAAAATAGTACGTTTCCATTTATTTAAGCTTTTTTACCTGTTTTTCGATCTATTTTAAGGTACTTTATCATGTTTTTAAGCAAACATGCCGATTTTGACGTTGAAGTTTTTAGTGCTTTTTTATAAAATAAAAAAAAAGACTATTTTTGTCGTGAAGTTTTTTTATTACATTTTTTTAACATTGCACGCCATTTTCAAGGTTATTTTTTAAAAAGTTGTGGATTTCTAAAGATTTTGATCATGATTCCAGCGGATCCATATAGAAATCGCTGACGTTGACATTTTTGCAAAAAAAACACATCAACGTCAAGATTGCCCTGTTTAAAAAACAATTATAAAGCACCTTATAACAAATTAAAAAACAAAATGTGAATTCGGGTCGTGTTTTCACTCTAGATATCCAGGTTTTTGGGGAAAAAATCCAAATTGTGTAACATTTTACAATTTAACTTTGAAATAAAATTATAAAACCGAATGCTTTAAAAACTTACAAGTTTTTTAAGATTATCGTAAGGATGGTAAATCGTTAATCAAAATTTTTTCGTTTATGGCCTCCTAAAAAATGATGACGACATTTTATAATTTTGTAGAACAAATGTATCTTAAATTTTATAGGATTACATACTCCATGTATATAAAAATTTCGAATTCGTGTTGAGGTTTTACCCTAGGTGTCGAGATTTTTGGGAAAAAATTCAAAATTGTATTTACATGCTGTGAAATTGTGCAAATATTTTAAATTTGTTTGAAACATAGGAAATCGTTAGTCATCATCTTACATTTTTTCAAATTTATTAGTGTTTTTGGGGAATGTATTAATTAATCAATCAGTTCTTTCCTCTGCGTAGAGGACACAAAATCAATCAAATTTCATTTTCTTTTGCTGATGTTTGAGCTAGTGGTCGAATTCGATCGACGTATAAACATAAACAGTCGAAGTTAAGTTTATAGTGAGAAATTAAGAATGTCAAGATTTTTTCCAGTTAGTTATCTGCTTTAAATATATTTCATATTTAAAGACGCACAAAACGAAAATCGCAGAATCTAATTTTATAATTTTTTAAAGAAGCGGAATTTATCGGACCATACTTCAAAAACAAGGGAGGTTCTAACAAAATAACCTTCCACAATTTTTTTACTAGCTTTGTTTTTCTTGGTAGCGTCATCAAAATTCCAAAACGCCAATGTCGCCAACAAAACTGAAAATAATAATAGTAATGATAATACTCAAACAGCATCTCTTTACAATACCACAGGGTCCCACTTTATAAATTTCCCGGTGGACCCCCATGTTCTCAATCCAACACTGACTGATGATATTGGTCTATAACTTCTAACTTTGTTAACGTCACCTTTTTTAAAAATGGGTATAACTAGGTTTGTTTTTAAATCATCCAGGAAAATACTGATAACAATGCACTCATTGATTAGTTTGGTTATCGGTGCAATCACTATATCTGCAATAAGCTTAATAATTAATAATTTTAATGTTCAAGCCAAAGATGTCTTTACTTAGAATAACTCAAACTTCGTTCCTTTCTCTGAAACTAAATATTTTAACTGCACGGAATTAAATTTCAAAACAGTCATCAGAAGAACATACTGCATACGATGACGTTTTGACAAATTTTTCAAGTTTCAAGAAATAAATTCATCTCAAAAGAAGTCTTAAATATGACAAGACATTTTTTTAATATTCATGTCAAAAGATAAGTTTACGTTGTTCGAAAAAAGTCAAGAACTTTCTAACTATGAACACATTTTACTCATCTTATTAAGTGCGTTTGTAGGTTTTTTCGTACTCTGGTCTAATTCAACACCGCCTAATTCTGTAGTAACTCTTCAAAAATATAAATATATTAAAGTGAAACACAACAGAACTTTTTCTGTATTTCTAACAATCAATCGAATAATATACAAAAGTGTCAGATCAAAGTAAGTGGTATAGTTTAAACCAGAAAAGATTTCCCAGACTAATTTAGATATACAACATTCAAGACTTCTGTGTTCTCATTGTCTTCATAGAATTATATTTATCCACCTATTATAAGACTTGTTTCGGAGTTGTTAGTAAATTTTCGACATGACGTTATTATACAACAACAAGATTTTTTCCCAAAATACTTGTACAATGTCTAAACATAGCAGCTAATTATCTTTAGTAAAAAAAGTTTCCAAGCGAACTTGTCAGTATGAGCCCACACACAGAGGTTTTTGTTCCGCCACTGTACGTTCGTCCGCCTTCTATTGTCAGCGCTGTTAAAATTGCGACCAGACAAATCCTACAAAATCCCAAAACACCGAGAACGTACAGGTCGGCTTTCACAAATGACACTTATTCGGTCATTGTCAAACAACCCTTCATGTATTTTTCGTGCTTAGTACTCTGTCCTTTCCTGTGTAGGAAGTTTCGAACAGTAAAATGCTTAACGTACACCACTTTTACCTCCATTTCACTGACCGAACTTCTCTATACTCTCTCCAAATACTCTATAATTTCACCAACAACTTTAATCGACAATTGGTAGGCAACTACCTTACTTACTTTAATAATTAATAATTCGACTTCCTTTGAAAGTCAAGAGTGCATAACATCAAAGAATCAACTTTCCGATACGAACCCTCAAACTTACAAACTTTACATAAACTCATTGAGTTCTTTCATCATTTATGGAGGTTTCATTTACGTATACCGTTTCTTTTTATATTACGTTTCTGCAGTTTCCCCTCATACATTATACGCTTAAAAAGTACATAATTAGTGCTGTTACAAACAGCGTCTGAAGTGCAATATCTTCGAAATTAAAATTCTTGTGTGGTGAATTTATCCACCAAAAGCTTTGTGTGTTTCTTTTATCACTTTTTAAAAACACCGTTGTTGTCTGAAAATGGCAAAAATGTCGTCCACATAACACCTCTTCCAAACACTATTAAAGTTTTTTCTGTTTTTATAGTGACTCGTAAAAAAATTTGCTGCAAGAGCAGATAGGGATAGTGTGTTTAACGCGGATGATAGTTCTGTAGGCTCTTACAGAGTAGTGGTGAGGGGCGTGATCAGGAACAGTTGCAAACCTGCTGTTTTCTAGGTGTTATATCGTTGCTGTAAGTCTTAATAAAAATGTTGGGAGTTTATTTCAATAAACTGACTTCAACTGCGTTTTTCCTATTCCTGGACAAAAAATCCTCGAGTCAGTCTCCATCTTTGTAACGTTTTGTCTTTGAGGCGATGTTTGTAGTTTTGAAGATATTATTTATAATCATTTTGATTGCAGGTTCTTGGCGGCCTATTGGCCATATGAGACCCTCTTCACCTTTATTAGATAGTGTCCGTGATCAATTCGAAGATTATGATCAGATAGCGAAAGACTTCACCAGGATGTTCCTGAACACCGATGCCAACACCTTGGCAAACGCGCAACTGTTCGACGTGGTGTTCCTCGTCGGGCAGTCAAAGCAGAAGGCCAAATTAGTGGGTGTTCGAGCAATTTTGGGAGTACGTAGTAGAGTCTTCCAAGAAATGCTGTACGGCATCCAAACAGGTTTCGGTTCGCCTCAAGTGCCCGTGGCTGAACTATTAGCGAGGCCAGTTCCCACTTTATTGAGTCCGCAACAAAGTAGACCGAAAAGTAGCAACTTTTTACAAGTGCCAGATATAGAATCGCCTCGGCCAAAAAGCGTCCCCAGTTCACCTATGGTCAAAAGAGCGTTCTCTAGGTTAGGTACAATAACGGCCGGCTGGGGCAGGTCCATCAGGAAACACAACGCCCAGCAGCTCTCCGCGGAGGACAAGAAGAAGTGGGCCAGCAGCCAGGACTGCTCAAGTAAGAGCTTCCCTTTAACTCGTTCGGTAAAAACGCGCGAACTTTATTAAAACACAAGATGGAAAAATCCTTATAAATCTCAGTAATCATTTTTGTTTGAACAAGCAAAATCTAATTTGTCTATACAAACAATAATTTGATTTTGCAGATAAAGAAGGGAAGGACAAAGAGGGCAAGGATAAACCCACAGCTGCCCAGTTGCCGGTTCCAAGGCTAAGCGTGTGTGCTGATGCTCAAAAAGTTGACAGAGCCAAATTGGCGCAGACTGAATTTTCTATTATAGAATTCGATCCAGACACTTTCCGAATATTGTTAGATTATCTACACACCGGATCTTGTCCCCTCACTTGTTCAACCATTCCAGGACTTATTTGCGCAGCTGAACACTACGACCTTCCAGAACTCCTTCAAGCCTGCTTCCACCACGCCAAACAGTTTCTCAGAATCGAAGTCGTAAGTTTCCAACTCATCGAGGAAACCATTACTCACTTTAATTTCAGGTGTGTTGCATGTTATGCTCATTAGAAAATTACTACTGGAGGTATACTTCCGCATCTGAGTTAGTCAACATGATTTTAGCCTTTGTGGAAACCCGCGCTTACGCTCTTTTTACCACTCCAGAATTCCTCACCCTGAGTGAATCCATGGTGCAAATGATAATGTGCAGGTAACGTCTGCTCCAACAACTCCGGAACCAAAATCGCTTTCTTTTTTCGTGTTTAGGAATCTAGAAGTTCCAGAAGTTAGGAAATTTGAAGCGATGTTGGCCTGGGCGAGGCACAAAATTCGTACTAAAACTTCCAGCAAATTGGATGCCAAGTTAGAATTTAAGTGCATTATGGAACGATTGGCTAGAGATTTGAAGCTGTATAGAATATCGCCCCAAGAACTTATTAAGGTTTGTTATTATTGACTCGGATAATGGTAATTTAACACGATTTTGAGTTTTGGATACTCGCTAATCAACAACTTTGCGTTACTGAAATCCTTTGAAAGCTTTCACAACATTCATGAATGTTTAAAAAGTTTTACGGGACCATTAAAACTTCTCCAGACTTTCTCAACCATTTGCTTTTTTTGTATGTAACGCATCTACTGAAATAAATAATGACGCGACCCGGAGCTGTTCGATCGTTTTATGCAAACTCATTTTTTAATATCGCTTTCAGAATAACATCGGTAGAAATCCAGGTCTGGAATACACGATGCTTCAAAAGATTGTAATTTAAATGGAAATACAATTTCACATTGCGTGTAGAATAATTTACAACAGAATGATAAAAACTGAACTGTCTGGGTTTAAGAAAAAAATAATTTCTAGATGAATAACACCACCCTGCAAAATATTATAAACCACTTCAGTGTTTTATAATTACGGTTCTGATTTCTGCTTGCCGCATTTTTAGTAGCTGCTGCTGTAAAATTTTATGTAGGTACAAGTCATAAAATAAGTGTATTCTCAAAACTGCAGGAAAATCATTACAAAGAATCGCCTCAGACACAATCGATGAAACACATGAATCGATTCATAGATTATTTTTAACTATTCTTTGGAATTCTCTAGGGTTAGATTTCAGAAATAGTAGAAGCTCGTAGCGATTGCTGCTTATTGTGATGTTATAATATGATCAATATGACGAAAAAATTTCCAATTTCAAAAGGAAACTTCCAAAGAATATATTGTCGTGAAAAAACTTTGGAGAAGTGCCATCTGATGCGGTTTTTCTTGCAGGTCGTTTTGCCGTCGAAGGCAATAAAGAACGAGCGTATTCTGGAGACGTTGATGTTCCAGGCGAATTCTGGTATGTATCGGATACAGGACTCGTACATTAAAGAGTGTACCCAAAGACTGCAAAAACAAGACTCCAGATTTTCGGAATGGGAGTCGTTCGATTACAGCACATAAAAGACTTTTTGTGACGAATCCCTTTAGATTAGAAGACAATCATGAGCAATTTATGCATCCAACATTCGCGGCATCTGTGAAGGATATACTGATATTATATAACAATAAGATATATTACGCCAACTGGGAACAAGTGATTCATGTTTTATATGATGTTTAAGTCGGTGTGATTGCAAGACAATCTATTATGAATTAAGTGTTTGCCTTGCGTGTACGATTTTTTATTCTCACAAGCATCAGTCTTCGGTCAATGTTTACTGTTGTTTTCGTGGAACCTCTTACACAGCTTTACCAGTTAAGTCAAGTTCTACTTGGTTGGAGCTATATTTAGTAAAACGTGTTGAATAGATATGGTTTATGTAAACGATGTTACTGGAGATTCATATTGGACAAATCTGTGGACGCTTTGTGCAACAACCAATATATTTTGGGAATTTTCCTTATTTGATATGAATGTCCGGACGATATACACCTCTGACGACTATATGATTTTCAACTGTTATCTGTATTTATAGGAATCGTGTATACTTATCTGAACAGCATATATTTATTTCGTACCTGTGTTGTGAATACTCGGCAGGTTACGTGGACCCTGTCTGTATAGAGACTTGTTGCTGTTTGTATTCGTGTTCGATGTTTCATATTTGAAAAGACACAAACCACGTGTTTGTAAGACTAAATATATTTTAATTACTCTTAGATAGCAAAAACAAATGTTGACATATTTTGATACTAAATAACTAAAGATGAAAAAAAAACATAAATGTTTCTTTGCGCAAATCTGTTCAAAATTTTATTTGACAAATAACTAATAAGTGTCTTATTACGAAATAGTAAAAAGCAAATGAAAATACTATATTTAACATCGTTGTAAAATGTTGTCTGTTTTAACAAATCTTCATTTTACTTTGTACTGATTGTTACGTCTCTTTAATACGTTTATGTGAAACCACGACTTCTCCCACCGCAGCTTCCAAAAAGATCTTTCTTTGCCAACTACCAGAAATTCTATATTTCTTGTACGGTTTTCTCGAGAAGTCGTGTTTCCTGGTTATGTACTTTGATTATTAAATTTATTTAAATTTAAACGAAGAAATTATATGTTCACACTTATTCTGTTTGCTTGTACTTGTGTTAAAAACCAAAGAAATGTAATAAAAAAATGATCTAAATAGAAACACCAATATTTGTGAACGATAACTTTGTTGTAAGATTGTTGCTTTATCAATGTACAAGTAAATGGAATATTTCATATATATTCTAAGATATTGTAAATCTTATTTTCTCAAATAAATTTTTTTGAAGCGTTGTAATCAATTTTTTCCCACATAGGTCAACCTTCAAATTTCTGAAAAGAAGTTACATGGACTGTAAACCACTTTTCAAAATAATTTACAGAGTTTGAAACCACTCTGGCAACTCTGCGAATAAAAATTGTGCCAAGGTTCACTCATTTGACTGCATATTTATCTCCAAAGGTCATGTTAATAAATGTTCCTACGATACACATTGTACGTGTTATTAAAAGATTCTTTTATACTAAAAATCTCATTATCTACAGACAATATGGTTTTTGTTAAACCTACTGATTCAAATTGACGTAAAGTTGACATTGACATTTGGAGGTGTGTAGTTTCAGTAACAGAAGAAATGTAAATACACTGCTTTTCAAATATTACCACGATTACCACACGTAAAATTGAAAAACAAATCGCTCAAAAACGACAATACAATACAAATCAATTACAAAATTCGTAATATTTGATTTTGTTTTTCACGTCCTCGCTGACTGTGTTGTTTTTATTTTCAAATTTCCCTCCAAATGTGCTGTCATAAATCAATCAACTGTCAAAGATACCAAGATTTTCTAAAATCCGGAAAATTTCGTCAAAATTCTCTATTAATAGTTAACAGAGAAATAATTCACGACAACCAAAAATTCTGATTCTTTATATAAAGAGCAGCATTCAAGAAATATCACACAGAAGCTTTCATATTCAATGACTCATATCACATAACCTCAAATTTGTGACGTTCCCAAGTCACACATGTTCCCTTAAGTCGAAATTTTCGCGAAATGTTAATTAAAAACCCAAAACCAGCTACGCGAAGGTGGATTAAACGTGGTGCAATAATCTTATTTGTGGGTGAAGCATTTTTATTTGCCGTCAGTTACGGAGCTTGGTACGGTATTAACACCAAAAGAGGTGAGGTAACATGTTGATATTTATACTCACATGACAGTGCTTATCTTTCTAGAATACAGAAGATATCTGCACGACAACTACCCATCCCTCTTGGAATACTATTATAAAATTGGGGAAACGATAGATTCAGATTGTAAAGTTCGCCAAATCGATTACGCCTATTGGGACTCTGAAAAAAATTGATGGCCGGAAGGTTAATCAAGTCTTTTCTATGGCTTTTTGGGGGCACTGCACTCGGTTATGGATTATTAGTAACTCTAACACCCAATGAGGAGAGCTTTAGAGGCGTACTTTTTACATATTTTGTGATTCTTTTTTAATTAATAAAATTTGATTTGCAGAATCTCCCAGGATTAGAACCCCGTGTAGAAACATTAAAGAAAAAAGAACAATTTGCAAACGTACTACAAGCAGCTGCTGGGTCCAACAAACCACTATACCGCTTAGACAAAGAAGGCATTGACAAAGAACTCAAAAAACAAAATTAATTGTAAAGTGTCACAAAAATGGAAATCATGGAGGGTGGGATTGATAAAATTAATTTAATTACAAAACGAGACGTCGAAAGAAAACTAGAACTACAAAAACGTAAAGAAGATAAAAGCAACTTGGCTGCCGACAATGAAAAGTTAGGATATTTTGAAAAAACATTTGCAAATAAACGCACACATATTGAAAATCTGCTCATGCATTCAAACACAATTGAAAAACATGTGCTTCCAGACCATTTCAACGATATTTCCAAGGAAATTTTACTCCTACAAAAGTACGTAGCTAATTCAAATATATTCTTACGCAGCTACGATATAAAAAAATGCCAGGAAAGCATACAGGAACTAACAAATAAATTAAAAGAACTGGAAGACGAACTACTGCCAAAAAAGAAGTTTGGTTTCAAAAACAGAACCAAACCTAAAGTTAACAACAAAAAACTAGAGCGAGATGAAGTAGACTTTCATGGTAAAGTCACTGTCGTCGCAAAACAAACGTGCGGATTTTCAAACAGAGTTGGAGAAATTTTAGAAATCGGCGGCGACGAAATTTTCAAGAAAGATGTGACTGTGGAAAACTTGGAAAACTGTAAAGTGAAAATTTTGGGATGCCCTTCAACGTTGCATTTAAGTTATTTAAAAAATTGCTATATTTTTGCTGGACCGGTATCGACTTCTATTTTTGCGGAAAACTGTACAGATTGCACTTTAGTTATAGCTTGTCAACAGTTAAGATTGCATGCTTCTAAAAATGTAAATATTTATCTTCACGTCACGAGCAGAGCCATAATGGAGGATTGCCACAGTATATTTTTAGCGCCTTATAACTTAAAGTATGACGGACTAGATAACGATTTTAAGAAATCTGGTTTAGATAAACATTGTAATAACTGGAAATGTGTGGATGACTTCAACTGGTTGAATGTTGACAAACCGTCGCCAAATTGGTCACTGCTGGATGAAAAAAATATTGTAGATTATTGGGGAAATTTATAACTTTGTAGTATTTATAGTAATAAAAGATAATATTCAAGTTTTTATTTATAAAAAAATTAAGACTTAGGTGCACCATAGGCATCAGGCATTCTTTCAATAGTGTATCTATGTTGGGCTACATACATAATCGGCACTCCAGGTATCTTTCGTATTCTACGTTTTAAATCCTTGTCATTTGTAGCAACAATATAACATTTATGTTGAGTAACCCTCTGCACTAAACAATCATCAGCATATGTACCTTTATGCATACAATGTATTCGTTCAAATCTAGGGTCCTTAATTATTCGTAACGCAACTTTATATTTTTGTCCTAATTTCTCCAATTCACCCAAAACACAATCCGTAATGTATGGAATACACTTTGCATATAAACAGTCCATCATATTCTGGATTATATCCAGCTTGTTTTTTATAGAAAAATTGATGAAATTTGTATCCACCAAGATGTGATACGGTGGTCCTAACTGTGTGTTATATTGGAAAAATAGCGCTGAACTAACTTGAGGGGCTTCACGAACTTTCAAAGCGTGCGGGTCTTCCGGTTTTTTCTTTCTAGGGGGCTGTCTCTGTGAGGCTTTAATACGAGGGTCACTATGGCTTATCATTGTTTTCATTTTAGCAAACCTCTTCTGGGCAATTTTTCTTGTCTTTTTTGCCTTACCCTACAAAAAAAGTTAATCACTGAAGAAACACTCAATCAAACTCACCATTTTTTGTTATTTATTTTCAAAAAACTCGAACACTAGTACATGTGGAAAATAGGTTAGAATGGAATTAGTGATTTTTTAACGTCATGTTGGTACTTGACAATGTTGACAAAGTAATATTTTTAATTTTATAATTACATACATTTGTCAAATTTATAAATTGTATACATCATTTCCAAGACAAATTTGACGTAGTTATTAAATTATGTCTTAATTACATAAAGAATTTAATTATCAAGCAACAAAAATGATCCACAATCGAAATGGGGAATTTTGTTTTTGAAGTTGCCGTCACGTGATGTCAACCCTGTCAGTTTGTCTTCAACGGTGTGAAATAATTTATCAGTTTATCAGAACTTGCAAAGAACCTATGAGGGAAGTTCTGCTCTCTGAAAACCGTTTTAAGTTTTCCATTAAAAGTGTGTGCCCGTGATTTGTGCCTATAAACAAATAACAACATTGAATTTGCCTTTTCCAACATAGAAGTGCTTTATTTTAGTCATGTAGTTGATTATTTATATGGACTTCCAAACAAACCAAAGTATATAGAATAAATAAGACCAAAACCTTTAAACAAGTTGTAGTTCCACATACACGAATTCAAAATGGATCAAATGCTACCAAGTCCTGGCTTTAGCATTCCCAGTATTGGTATGTTATTATTAAAAACTAAAATCCAAAATATTTGAGTAACCATTTTAGGGACACCTTTGCATCAGCCTGAAGAAGATCAAATGATTTTGCCAAATGCACTTCAACAGCAGCAGCAACAACCATCAACGACACAGTCACAACAAGTTCCACCGTTAGCCCCCATGGGGGCTCTCACACCCACGTTAGGTTTAGGAATGGGGATGTCCATGCCACACACGAAATATGTGTCAGGATTTGCACTCCCCATTACAAGTATACAATCCCAAACACCAGTAAGTCACAACACAACAAAAAATGACCATTTTTTCTAATTTCAATTTTTAGCAACATACAATGATGTCCCCTATGGTAAATTTAGGTGGGACAAGTGGAGCAGCAACAACACCATCAATGGGACCCGCTACCCCGTCGCCTTTAACCCCAATGACCCCCCATTCAGCAGACCCAAACATCGTACCTCAGCTACAGTAATTACACCTAATACATATGTCACACTTTACTAACTTATTTACTTTTAGAAACATTGTATCAACAGTGAATCTCAGCTGCAAACTAGACCTAAAGAAAATTGCGTTACATGCCCGTAACGCCGAATACAACCCCAAACGTTTCGCCGCCGTCATAATGAGAATTCGTGAACCTAGAACCACAGCTTTAATCTTTTCTTCGGGCAAGATGGTGTGCACTGGGGCCAAGAGCGAAGACGACTCGCGATTAGCGGCCCGGAAATACGCCCGAATTATTCAAAAATTGGGTTTTCCGGCCAAATTTTTAGATTTTAAGATTCAAAATATGGTGGGGAGCTGTGATGTTAAATTCCCTATTAGATTAGAAGGACTTGTTCTCACGCACAGTTCTTTCAGTTCTTATGAGCCTGAACTGTTTCCAGGGTTGATCTACCGGATGGTGAAACCCAGAATTGTGTTGTTGATTTTTGTTTCGGGCAAGGTTGTGTTGACGGGAGCTAAAATTCGACAGGAGATTTACGAAGCGTTTGATAATATTTATCCGATTTTGAAGAGTTTCAAAAAACAATGAAGCTTAGTTGTTGAAAGACTATTATTTTTTTGGAGCGTATTTTATAAGAATGGTGTTTTTTTTTAAATAAATGCAATAAAACAGATTTACTTTTTTTTATTTGTTACTAGGCTGCGCAAGTATATTTGGGTTAAGTCATTAATTAGTGACTCTTGACAATAAAACCACAAAAAGTTCACAGAAAATATTTATTAGATTTTCAAAATACAAAGTAGTTGTATTCTTCACTTGAACGTTTTTCCATTATGCCACCTAGAGATCTTAAACACCGATACAATACCTAAAATGTCCAATAAAATTAACTTCTAGTTCCAGAAGTTTCACTGAACATTGTGTATACAATCAGATACAGTTTATCATATAAAAAAATATAATAACTTCACTAACATTAAAATATCTTATATTAATTACAACTCTTTGTTATGTTTTAAAAATAAATCCTCTCAACAGGCGCTGATGACAGAAGTAACGCATTACATTTCCTAAATATCTTTAAAATATTTGAAAATTTTTTTAACATTATTACCTCTTTGTTAGACGATTGGAAATATTCTAATACTTCTATCTGAGAACCATTGGTGTTAGATATTTCAAGATTTTTTGACGACATAAAGTCAAAAAATGATCCACATTTAAATAATGAAGATTTTGGATCATTTTGTACAACTCGTCTAAAAATAAATCTTTGATGATCTGATATTTATCAGATTCTTGATTTTTATTAGTCCAATTCATTTTAAAAACTGGCAACGAGACAGTTGCATAAATATAAGGCCTGCTCAAGATATTTTTAAAATCAAGTATATATGTTGAAAGCGTGACTGAATATTTTTTACTACAGTGGCCCACAAAATCGTAGATTTTGTGTTTTGTTTTTACTATACAGAATTTGTAAAATACTAGGGAGAACGTAACGTAAATAACATTGATTTTCACCTATAACACATCAATTTCAATATTTTTTGATTTTGGTTTTCTCAAAACTTCACATATTTTATCTAAATGGATTTGAATCTGCAAAAATCACCACCACAGAATTGACCAAAGAGTTCCACCTTGTAACGCAAGGCATAGTCAATTTTCTGTGACATATATTTTCAATTTCATCAGAAGCTTTAGTCGAGCATTTCAAATCGCTGATAGTTTGCCAAAAACACTATGATAATTTTTTTTAAGATTACTACTAGAGAATTAGATACGGTTTTTTGTATATCAACTGTTGCTATTAAATGTAACGTTTAAATTTAAATTATTTAGATAGGTAAATGTATATCATCCAAATCGTCATCGCTATTTAATAAAATGAAATTCAAATCATGAAGCTGAAATTCATCTTTTTCTGTTCCGTTTCATGCTTCTGTTTGAGATGAGCTAGACGCATTTTCATTTGTATTTTCGTTTGAAAAAAATCTAAAAGCTTTACAAAATTTTTTGACATTATCAGTTACAGTTACAGTACCGCTAATTTTACTAATATTGCTAATAAATTCTTGGTGTATGTTGTGCAGAATATTGGATCGTGAGTCTGAGAATATTTAATTCTCCTACGCCAAAACAAACGATTTCCTTTTAAGAGATTCGGTATCAATAATATGGGCCGTAGCTCCGAAGATGCTCTTATTGTTTTTTGACCAAATATCTACAGTGGTGCACACAAAATCTTGAGTTTCCATAAAACTCCTTAGACTACGCTTACAGTTTTCCTTGTGATTTGAAATTTGTTTTGGCAAAATTTGGCGGCAAACAGATTTAAATGCACCGTCAGATGGCCTATCAATTGTAGAAATTGGCAGCATTTCTTCTATTATGTACTGTAAAACTGCTGCATTGCACTAAAAAAATCATAATATAGTATTCAGGTATTTCTAATTGATCTTAATTTATATCGCAAATCAAATATACAGACAAATTGCTTTTCTTCATTCTTCATTGGAACTTGCAGCTTTACTAACTTTGTGGCGTATGTGGCGTTGCTGTGATGTTAATGTAGGCAACACAACGCACACGTACTACTTCCTCTCGCCTACGAGTAGGCAACTCAATATGCTCACCGAACACCACTCGTGATTGGTTAGCCTGGCGCCGACGCAGAGACCAACTGGGGACACAAGGAGGCGCGAGTACGGCAAGTACTCTCTTCTGCCGCCGACATCGAAACGAAGAAGATGGGTACCGTCTCCTGTTCCACGTGTAAAATATCCGTTTGTAAATAAACTATAGAGAAACCCTACCTGGTGTTAGTCATTTCCACATTGGTGACCCCGGAAAGAAAATAGGAAGAGCTAGCACCATGGAAGAAATGCAAAAGAAACTGCAGGAACAACAAGAAATAATTTGCCAGTTCCAGACACAACTGGCTACCATCTCCAACAAACAAGCCCTTGATGAGGTAAGAAGTGGTTCAAATCTGAAGCTACCGACATTCTGGCAGCGAGACCCGGTGCTTTGGTTTGCACAAGTCGAAGCCCAATTTAATTGCGCGAGAATCAGGTCCGACCAGACCAAGTACTGGACCGTGGTAACCGCCTTAGACTGCGCGACGCTCCAGCCGGTTGCCGATTTGGTCGCCAACCCCCCAACAGAAGAGACAAAGTACGAAAGCATAAAATCCAGATTGATCGCCGCCTATGCAGACACCCCCGAAAAACGACTACGGAAGCTCATGTACGAAATAGAGTTAGAGGACAAGCAGCCGTCACAACTACTAAGAGAAATGGAAGCCCTAGCGGGTAAGGGGATCAGCGGTGACGTCCTCAAGACTCTGTGGTTGCAGCGTTTACCCCCACAACTACAGATGATCCTCGCCGCAAATGATAAAGAAACGCTGGACAAAATGGCGACCATAGCGGACAAATTGACCGAAATCCACCATACCAGCGCCATCACAGCAAATATTGGTGCCCTAAATCGCGGTACCTCCGCGCACGCCTCTCAAACCGTTACATCGGCGCAAGAAGATGGAATGGCTGCCGCCATTACGGCACTGCAGAAGCAGTTCGTAACTTTATCGACCACAGTAAACCAACTCGCAGACGACAGAAGGCGCCATGGGCAAGGCGAAAACTGGAATCGCGCCAAATTTAGGTCAAGGTCGAATCCGCAGGACGATAATATCTGCTATTATCACAATCGGTTCGGAGCAAACGCCAGAAGATGCGCCAAACCCTGTGACTACAAAAGGCCGTTAAACTAGAGGCGCCGTCGACGATTGAGGTGGTCCACGACGCAGCGCAAACACAACGCCTCTTCATCACCGACCCAAAATCAGGTACCCGATATTTAATCGACACGGGGGCAGAAGTTTCCGTGTTACCCAAGAGATTGTTCTCAGGCAGACAACATCTCAGCCCAGCTGAGACAACGCTCTTCGCGGCCAACGACAGCGCGATCAGAACATACGGCCAAAAGCTAATGTTCCTTGATCTCAAGCTGAAACGTCCGTTCAAGTGGGTATTTATAGTGGCAGACGTAGGCAAACCCATCATCGGAGCAGACTTCCTGAGGCATCACAACCTCCTACCTGATCTCCGCAACCGACGCCTCGTAGACGCAGCCACCCTCTTATCAACTCGCGGAACCCTGGCTATATGCAAGTCGCCTCAGATCACGACAGTGGCCAAGACGACGCCATATCACGCACTGCTAGCGGATTTCGCAGAAATTACACGCCCACCGCCACCTGGAACGAAGCACAGGGGCAACGTGTTCCACCACATCATCACCAGAGGTCCCCCGGTCGCAGAAGCTCCTCGCAGGCTTGCACCCGAGAAGTTGAGAGTGGCGAAAGCCGAATTCCAATATATGATGGAACAGGGCTGGTGCCGACCATCCAAGAGCCCTTGGGCTAGTCCGCTTCACCTTGTCCCAAAGAAACTCCCTGGTGAATGGCGTCCATGTGGCGACTATAGGCGCCTAAACAACGTGACAGTGCCTGACAGCTACCCCATCCCTCATATACAGGACTTCACCTACAGACTCGAAGGTAAAAGTGTGTTCTCCACCATAGACCTAGTGCGCGCATACCATCAAATTCCCGTGGCTGAAGAAGACGTTCCTAAAACAGCCGTGTGCACTCCGTTCGGGCTCTTCGAGTTTACAGTTATGACGTTCGGACTACGTAATGCCGCACAGACTTTCCAAAGACACCTGAACTCTCTAATAAGTGACCTTGATTTCTGCTACGTGTATATAGACGACATCTTAGTGTTCTCCCGAGATGAAGCAGAGCACGTCGAACATCTAAAAATGTTATTTTCTAGGTTACGGGAGCATCACATAGTGATTAACCCGACCAAGTGCGTGTTTGGTGAAGCCGAAGTGAAATATTTAGGACATACGATTTCCGGGAGTGGAACCAAACCACTTGAGACGTCGGTCAGTGCAATCCGCGAATTCCCCAAACCAAAGACAGTTCAAGATCTGCGACGGTTCCTTGGCATGATCAACTTCTACCGACGTTTCATTCCCCACGCAGCCCAGACCCAAACACCACTTCACCAATATCTGAACAACGCGCGGAAGAATGACAAAACAATAGTCGAGTGGACAGAAGAAGCTGAAGCCGCTTTTGAAACGTGCAAGACAGAGTTAGCCAACGCCGCGCTTCTGGCACATCCCGCCGAAAATCTGCCGCTCAGAATTATCACCGATGCTTCTGATTACGCAATCGGGGGCGTACTAGAGCAGCACTCCAATGGGACCTGGCAACCTTTAGGTTTCTTCTCCAGAAAACTTAGCAAGGAGCAGCGCAACTACAGCGCATACGATCGTGAGCTGCTTGCAGTTTACGAAACCATAAAATTCTTCAGGCACATGGTGGAAGGCAGAGACTTTTGCATACTCACCGACCACAAACCCCTCATCTACGCGTTTCAGCAGAAAGCAGGCAAAGCATCCCCAAGACAAGTCAGGCAGCTAGATTTCATCGGCCAGTTTTCCACCAACATTATCCACATTTCAGGAGAACAAAACACAGTTGCAGACACACTTTCAAGGGTCAATGAAATCACAACTCCTACGTTCATTGACACCGACGACTTAGCCAAGGAACAAGAAAAAGACGCCGAACTAAAAGCACTTTTAAACTCTGATACAACAAGCCTGCGGTTAGAAAAACTCACCCCACAGGCCGGCCAGAAAGCTATCTGGTGTGACACGTCAACGGGGGTGGTTAGACCATACGTTCCACAAGATTCGAGAAAAGTAATTTTTGAAGGATTTCACAACCTCTCACACCCCAGCGGCCGAGCGACCAGTAAGCTCATCAAGAAGCGATTTGTGTGGCCATTTATGGAGAGTCACATAATGAAGTGGGCACGAAGCTGCATCCCTTGCCAGCGATCCAAAGTTGGCCGACACACCAAAGCCCCATTACAGCATTTCGATGACGTCACAGAACGGTTCCAACATGTGCACATCGATATAGTAGGTCCGCTACCTCCCTCTCAAAGCTACAGGTATTGCCTCACTATGTCTGACCGTTTCACCAGGTGGCCAGAGATCGCACCCATGACCGACATGACCGCAGAGACAGTCGCCAAGACATTCTACGAAAAATGGATTTCAAGATTCGGTTGCCCAAGACAAATTACAACCGACCAAGGGCGACAATTTGAAGCATCCACCATGAATGCCTTGGCGAAAATTTTGGGCATTCAGCGCTCTCGGACGACGCCATATAGGCCCCAGAGCAACGGCCTTATCGAGAGATGGCATCGAACCATGAAGGCAGCCATCATGTGCCATGAAGCAGAAAGTTGGCTAGACGTTCTACCTACAGTATTATTAGGGTTACGTACAGCCATCAAAGAAGACATCGGTCACTCACCAGCAGAGCTGACCTACGGAACGCAACTGAAAGTCCCAGGCGAATTCTTTTTCAGCAATATCGACAGATCCGTAGAACCCACTACCTTTGTAGAAAAACTACGGGACCACATGAGGAAACTTCGCCCAACTCCAGCGTCGCACCACATTAGGCAAAGCACCTTCGTCCACACAGAGCTCAGTAAATGTAGCCATGTTTTCCTAAGAGACGACACCGTGCGAAGACCGCTCCAACAGCCCTACACCGGTCCACACCTTGTTCTGTCTCGTACTGCTAAGACAATAAAGGTCAATGTAGGCGGTAGGGAAACAACAGTGAATATCGACAGAGTAAAACCCGCTTTTATTCTCCAAGAACCAGAACCACCACCGGCTCCATCCCCAGTACGAACACAGGAAGTTACTCAAACCACCAGGTCAGGCCGCAGGTCAACGCTCCCCGCACGTTTCAGAGAATGACAACTGACAGCCGTTTTGACAGCTGTCACCCGTTACTTGGGGGGGGGGTATGTGGCGTATGTGGCGTTGCTGTGATGTTAATGTAGGCAACACAACGCACACGTACTACTTCCTCTCGCCTACGAGTAGGCAACTCAATATGCTCACCGAACACCACTCGTGATTGGTTAGCCTGGCGCCGACGCAGAGACCAACTGGGGACACAAGGAGGCGCGAGTACGGCAAGTACTCTCTTCTGCCGCCGACATCGAAACGAAGAAGATGGGTACCGTCTCCTGTTCCACGTGTAAGATATCCGTTTGTAAATAAACTATAGAGAAACCCTACCTGGTGTTAGTCATTTCCACAACTTTATTTGGAGGTTTTTCTTCAATTTCGCTAAAGGAACTATTAGCTGGCCTTTTAGGAACTTTACGAATAATTAAGTTGTTCAAAAGGTCCACTTTATTTGGATGTTTTCTCTGAAAATTAAAATTTGGTCATCTATTTTGAGCTGATGGGACTTGACGTACCCTTACATCTGTTAAAAAGTTGGTGGTTGACCGTTTATAATCCCTGACTTCCGTGGCGAAACTGCCACTTCGATTTAATTTTGTCACCACTCACTTCAATTACATATTTAAAAAAAACGCTGATTTAAAGATAGGCGATAAAGTTTTCAACACGTTGAACTGAACAAGATTTTATAAAAAAAAATTAAACACGTAATCAAAAATGCTACTTCACGATTAGAAACTAAAATCATTAAGAAATAATTACTTTACATTTTACACTTTCTGGAAAATAATTATTTGTAATTGAAGCAGGTATAAAGGGATAGGGTGGTTTAACGTTATCGCAGGTTGGTATTTGGCCCAAGCTAGTTACTACTCTAGTAAATGACTTAAACCCAACAGGTTTCTTTGCATTATGATTTATAGCTTTATTCTAAAGTTTCTTATAATCTTAGGCGACTACACCTGATTCGGTAATCCAACCTAACAGTTGGGCGGAGTCGATGACAACAAAATTGTGAATTAAAAAAAGCCAATATCCCTCTTAATACTAGGAAAAGGTCCTTGTTACCTGTTACTTTTGGAACAACAAATTACCTGCTTCTTTTCTAAAACCCAATAAAATTTAGAAAAGACTGTTCAAGAATGTACCTAATTAAAATTGTAGTTAAGTTGTAGTTAAAAATTTATCAAAAATGTAGTTGAAATACATTTCAACTACAAGAACGAAATACAAATAATTGGTAAAGATGTTTCTAAAATTATCTGTCTAACAAAATCTCCAACAGACTGACAAGAATACAAACACAAATGTGGAAAACTATCATTTTTGTATTTTAAACACTGCAACACTCCATTATGAGCTTGTGTTTTGGTAAATTAAATATTTTAAATTGAATGAAAAAAAAACACTATGATCATAAATCCAAACCTGAAACTAATTTCAGTGCAAGTTGATTTAGCCAGATTTAGCAGTCTTACACTTTACACAATATTACACTTTAATACAAAATTAATAATTAACACAACAATTATTGCATTATCAAGATGTCATTGATGGAAAAATAACTAGTAAAACCACGCAGTTAAGGTACGCATATTATCTACATTACTTTAGAAACAATATGGTAATTAGACCACATTAGCGATAAAAATTCAGCAAATTGATACTGGAAAGTCACCGTTTCAAATTGTTGCACCATTTGTCAAAGAACTGGAGGAGTTTATCAACAAAATATCTGCATATTTAAGTAAATATTTCAAGAAAAAAAGTTTCAAATTCCAACATTTTCGTTATAAGTAACGTACGCTGAAATGCTTCCAGTAAATGTAAAATGAAGTCTCAACAAGTTGTCCTAGTTTTGATTGTGGTTATCAATTCGCTGTGTTTGGCAGACGATAATCAAAGTATGTATTAAAACTTTATTTGGTATCAAAATTTAATTTTACAACGACAGATCACTCTAAAAATCATTAACCTTCACAAATTACCACCCGCTGTTAAAGAGTTGTTCATATTATTTCTTTTATTTATTAGATAATGGCCCCTTACCTATATGGCCTCCTGATCTAAGTTCATACGTGCAATATTGGCAACAATTTCAAAATTTTATTTTAAATAATAATATCATACGTCCATGGTCTACGGGTCTGCTCCCGACAAACGACAACAGTTCGGGTAAATTACCAACCATTCTATTTCCAAAAAAAAAAAAAACAAAAACAAAATGTTTCGTAGCTTGTAGTTCCCCTTCAGTAACCAACTCATCAACTAATAACACCGTTCCTGAAAGTACTACCCAAGGACGTTCCAAAGTGAAGGTCCATCCAGCCGCCAGACATTCTCATAAAGGTGACAATAACAACACACCCTGACTATTTAAAATAATTCAAGTTTGCAGATGTTAAAACCAAACATTCCCATGGCAAAAAACATTCAGGTGAAAAACATCACTTACACGAAAAGCACCACCAGCACGAGAAGCATAAGCTGAAAAACTACCACGAAAATTAAAATTATAATTTTTGAGAGATATATAACACTAGTATTTCTTGCCTTTGTTTAAGCAATAAATTATTAAATACATATATAACAAAAGAATTTGTGGATGATTTTACCCCCTTATTTTTAAAAATACACCTCGCAAGTCCTAGGTGAATGTGATAAACGCGAGGTTTTGAGGTTAAATCTACTACACTTACCTGAAACGCTGTACAACCTGTTACACACAAGTCGGAAGAAACACCGTTACGTCACAAATAAAAAGGCCTTGTTTATGTAAAACTAATATTTAACAGTAAATTTGTTAAAAACAAGAAGAGAATGTATTACAACACATAAATAAGCAAAAGAAACTTAGACTTGTCTTAAAACTTAATTCATATGTATATAATATATTTTATATAAAGGTACAATAACAGTTTGGTGATCTTTGAAACAGAAACAAAATTTTACGAGTTATCACCATAATCTCTATCACCCACATTGATTCGGTCTGGAGCTGAAGTAACGTTAAACCCCAGGATTCGAGAATCGACTTTTAACATCTTTGACTTTTTGTTTTTCTTATTTTTACCCTAGAGATAAAAACGATTAATTTCTTAACAAAAATTTGAACGGGAAAAGGTACCTTGACTTCTTGGAATTCAGTGCTATGTTGCGACGACGGCGTAATTGCTGGTGCTGGCGAACACATATCGTCTTTGTGAGCATTGTTCTTAGGCTTGCAGGAGCGTCTTTTTTCCAAAAAATTAGACGCGAATTGTTGCGTTGCAGGACTTTCACCTAAATATTCCTTACAGTAGTCTCTTACATCATAAGCTGATTCGATATCACGTAGAAAAGTTACAAATGTAGGAACTTAAAACGGCGGAATTAGTTGAAAACAATAAAAACGGTTTCATACTCACTATCTACATCAGCCGAAATATTAGATAAAGTCTTGTAGCACCAATCAGTAAATTCGTCCTTACTTTGATTATTATTGTTATTATTGACAGATTTTGGTGACTCCTCTTTTTTAGCTTTATTCTTAGATTGCTTTTGTTGTTGCTGCTTAGTAGTAGTCATGGCACTAGTTGAATTACTTTTAGATACTGTGGACGGTTTATTAGAGGATTTTGACGGGACTTCGTCCCAGAAACCTCCAGCTGGACACTCAAATAAGTAACGAAACTTACAGGATTAACGAAAGACTTACTGGAATTAGAAGTCCACTGAGAAGTTGAGGAAGCGTTTGCCCAGGTCAAACTTTGACCATTCCAAATATTTCCGGCATTAGAAACAGAAGAAACTTCTTTTTCTTTTAACTGCGCAGCCATTTTGGCTTCAGCCGATAACTGTCATAAAACAGCTTAGTATTAGATAATAAATAACGAACAATTTATTTTATAAATTTAAAGCCGATGTCAATTTCAACTAAACGGGTTGTTATTGTTTCAGATGGTTTACTGCCAGTTTATAGACGGTATTTAATTATCACGAAACGATAGAAAAAATTGTGCATGCACTTGGCTACGAACTTGGTTGAATTATACCTTTGCCATTCTCTCCTGCTCTTCCGCTTGAATTTCGGCGAAAGATTTAACTTTTCGCGGTTCCACAGGCTTCTTAGCCCAATTCAACTGCAGGCCTCCGGATTTCTCCAGCTGCTGCTGTTGTTGTTGTTCCTGTAGCTGTTGCTTCTGAATCTGTAACGCAGTCTCCTGTGCCCTCTTCTCTTTTTCGGCTTTTTGAATATCGGTTAAATTTAATCCAGGAGTGAAGTTGGACTGACTCCAAGGAGCGCTTTTAGCAGCACCTCGAGCTGCCTGCGTCTGAGCTAATCGCACAGCTTCCGCTTGCTTCTTTTCTTCCCGCTCCTTCATTTCCCGTCTAAAATACAACATTCCACATCTCAATACTGAAAATTAATAAATCCAAAAACATTATGTTATAAAGTGCCCAGCTATATCAACACCAGGGAGAATCTAGTAAAGTCACCTGTTCTTCTCTTCCTCTAGCTTCTTCACTTCTTCAGACTTTTTCCTAGCTTCCTCTTCGGCCTTCCGCTGCTCTTTAAGTCTTCTTCTCTCTTCCAACTCGCGCAGTCTTTTCTCCTCTGCTTCTTTCTTCGCTTTCTCTAGTTCCTTCCGGATCTTCTCTTCTTCTTTCTTTTTCTTTTCTTCGGCGGCTTTCTTTTCGGCTTCCTGTTCATAATCACTCTCAATATATAAACCTAGCCTACTTGGTCATTCTCTTACCTGCTTCTTCTGTTCTTGCTTTCTCCTTTCTTCCGCTTCCTTCTTCGCCTGTTTCTCTTCTTGTTCTTTTCGTTTCTTTATTTCTTTCTGCGTCATTTCTTCTTTCGGTCGTTCTTTTTCTTTGTCTTGTTGAATTATTTTTTCTGTCGGAGCTGGCGGAACTTCAGACGGTAGAGAAGTTGCAGGTGTTTGGATATCCCACATCGAGAGAGGCGTCTCCGACTGTTGTGGCCACTGCGTCGGAGGAGTCACTGCTGGCGGTACGTTGAACTGATTTTGTTTCTGCCAGAGATTATCCAACTAAAACGTTTTAAGTTTTATAAATCGTTCGCCGGACCAGTGACCACTCACGGGTAGTTGTCTTTGCTGTTGAAACTGTTTCAAAAAGTTCGTTATTGGATCGTTGTCCTGACCTGGTTGTTGTAACTGGTCTATAGAACCGTGAGGTGTTGGTCGGTTTACGTTTACTGAGCCTGGTAAACCACTTGGCAAACTGGAGTGGATACCAGGCAGTGATGATATTCCGCTAGGGGCGATGGGGGGTGTTTGTAGACTAGGTAAAGTACTACCCAGGCCATCGGGAGGTAGTGATGATGAAAGGTTTGTGGGAACTCCACCTGGTAAGTGATTATGGAGACCGGAACTCGGCATTCTATTTTGTAAAGAATGCATATTCCCCATTTGAACTAGGAGAGGATCGAGCTGATTAGGCACACTACTACTAGGTTTGTCCACTAGGACTGAGCCAGGAAGTTTATTACTCTGAAACAGAGACCAAGAATGTTCGCTAAAAATACACAAACGGTGGAAACAGAAGTAGTGTTTCAGAGTGACTTTTGTAGTTTCCTCTGCTTTTTTTCTTTGGTTTATTTAATACAAAAATTGTATAAAAATTATGTGACTCACACGAGAATGTTTATCACGTGGCATTCTTGAATTTATCGAAATTATTCCCTGTTGTCGATGTTAAATATTTTCAGTATATATCACAAACAACAATTAAAAACTATTGGCGCTTATCTCTTTTTTACAATAATTTTTTCTACGATACCTACTTTCATAGATAATTACTTGCTGCTATTTTAATTGCTTGTAAAGTGCATGGTCACAGTCAATATTCTGAGTCACCAGAGATTTTTTTTTAAACCAACACAATACATGCATTTTTAAATTACATATTCATTTTATATTATACTTTTTTCGATATTATTCACATTTTTCAAATACAAATAAATAAAACAATAAAAGTTGTGTACAATAGCAAGTGTATTTTAGACATCAAAAAATTATCACCATTGAAATTTCATTTCTTTTGTCTGGTGTGTTACAGTGTACCTTATAAAACTGAGATAACCATTTATTTCTTTACTGGAACCATTTGACAATATATTTTGATGATAATTTTTTTCAATACCAATATCATCCCTGATTTAAAAAAATTAACAATAAAAAAGTACCAAATATTTTTCATTGTGGGGATGGGTGAGGTAAATAAACGTTTGAGAACATAACTAATAAAATTGGATTACTAACTCAAAACATTATTATCTCTACAACACCGCAAAATTTCAACAAATGTTGACTCATTTCGAACTAAATCAAACTATAAATTAGCTTCTAATGTATACCCTCCCTACGGCTCCGCCACCTCTTCTTCGATCGACCAATTTTTTGATATCACAATTTTTCGTTTTTCCTTTCTCTGCGATTTTACAATTTTTTGATATCGCCATTTTTCGTTTTTACTTTTTCAATTTTTCGACTTCCAAATTTGTCAGTTTTTCATTAACGATTTTGCAGTTTCTCAATTTTAAATTTTACGATTTTTCAATTTTTCGTTTCCTCAATTTTTCAAGTTCTTGATTTTTATTTTTCATTTTCCCGATTCTTTCATTTTCATTTTCTCGATTTTATATCACAAATTTTCGCTTTTTCATTTCTTTTAATTGTATCAATATTTCTTTTGATTTTATAATTTCTCGTTTATTCAATTCTTCAAATTTTCAATCTTTGATTTTTCAATTCCTGGATTTTTCAATTTTTAAATTTTTCAATTTTGCAATTTTTGGATTTCTCAATTATCCGATTTTCTGATTTCTTTAACTTTCTACTGAAAAAATTGAAGAAACAAAAATTGAAAAACGGAAAGATTAAAAACTGAGAAACTTAAAAATCGAAAAAACGAAATTTTATCAAATCGAGTTATTAATTTTTTGACAAAATTTCGATTTTTCAATTTTTGTTTCTTAAATTTTTCAAGTTCTTGATTAAATTGTAGGAGTACTTATTAGTAGGCTAATAATAATAATTGATACGAGGAAAAGTTCATTTAAGTTAATGTTTATGATGAATATTAATTATTGGTTTTATACTTTCTCAATTTATCGTTTTTGACTTTCCAATTTTACAATTTTGCAATTTTTCCATTGTTTTGATTCGAAAAGTTTAATAATCGAAAACTGAACCATCGGAAAATTAAAAATAAAAAATTAAAAATTCGGAAAAAATGAAAAACCGAAAAAACGAAAAATTGCAAATCGTAAAACTGAAGAAACAAAAAACTGAAACATTGAAACAACTTAAAATTGAAATATTTAAAAAATAAAAAAAAAACTAGAAAGAACGAATCGAAAATTAGAAGATCGAAAAATTGGGAAACCGAAAAATTTTAGAATCTTCAAAAGTAAAAGTTGGAAAACTATAACACTGAAAGATGAAAAAATAGAAAAATCGAATAAATGAAAAATAGAAAAATTCTAAATGTAAAAATTTTAATAATTATAATGATAATTATTATTAGACACATTTAAAATGAAAACTAAAAAAATTGCAAATCAAAAACTGATGAAACGAAAAATTGAAAAATTGAGGAACTGAAAAATCTAAAACTGAAAAACCAAAAGATTAAAAAATTTAAAAGTTGCAAAAAAAATTCAAATCGAAAAATTGAAAAAAAAATAAAATAAAATAGCAGATTGAAAAAGTAAAGAAATTAAAAATTGGAAACTCGTGGAATTGCAAATCGCAAAATTACAAAATCTAAAAATTGAAACATCCAAATTTTGGAAAGTCAAAAAATCAAAAAAATTTAAATGAAAACAAAAAAAAAATGAAAAACTGAAAAGTTGCACATCGAAAAATTGAAAAAAACTAAAAATTTTAAAAATTGAAACCAAAAAAACAAAAAATTATAAAAACGGAACATAGAAAAAATAAAGAAAACAAAAAACCGAAACGAAACATTGCAAAATCGAAAAAGTGGAAAATCGAAAAACTGCAAATCGAAGAACTGAAGAAACAAAAAACTGAAACATTGAAAAAACTAAAAATCGGGAAATTTAACAATTAAAAAAAAAATTGTGAATCGAAAAACTGGAAAGAACGAATCGAAAATTGGAAAATCCAAAAATTGCAAAAACCGAAAAATTATACAATCGTCAAAATTATAAAGTGGGAAAACTATAACACTGAAAGATGGAAAATTTGAACAATCGAATAAATGAAAAATTTTAAAATCCAATAAGTGAAAAATGGAAAAATTTAAAAATCCTAAAATTGAAAATGTAAAAATTTTAACAATTATAATCATTTACAATGAAAACTAAAAAAATTGCAAATTAAAAAATTTAAAAGTTGGAAAAAAAAAATTTCAAACCGAAAAATTAAAAAAAGATAGAAAATAAAAAACCGAAACGAAAAATTGCAAATTGAAAAATTGAAGAAATGAAAAACAGGAAAATCTACAAATTAAAAATTGAAAACTCGTGGTATTGCAATCACAAAATCACAAAATCTAAAAATTGAAAGATCCAAAAATTGAAAAGCTGAAAAATTTAAAATTTTCAAATTAAAACTCGAAGATTAGCATATCGTAAAACTTAAGAAACAAAAAAAAAATGAAAAACTGAAAAACTGCAAATCGAAAAACTGAAGAAACGAAAAATTTTAAAAATTGAAATTGACAAAACAAAAATTATAAAATCGGAACATTGAAAAATCGAATAATTGATAAAATATTTAAAATATTTTTTAATATAAATATATTTTAATAAAGAAAAAAAAAAATCGAAACGAAAAAGTGGAAAATCGAAGAACTGAAGAAACAAAAAACTGAAACATTGAAAAACTAAAAATCGAGAAATTTAAGTAAAAAAAATAGTGAATCGAAAAACTGTAAAGAAGAACGAATCGTAAATTGGAAAATCCAAAAATCATAAAATCGAAAAATTATAGAATCGTCAATATTATAAAGTCGGAAAACTATAACACTGAAAGACAGAAAAATTGAAAAATCGAATAAATGAAAAAGTTTTAAAATCCAGTAATTGAAAAACGGAAAAATAAAATCCTAAAATTGAAAATGTAAAAAAATTGCAAATCAAAAACTGATGAATCGAAAAATTGAAAAATCGAGGAACTGAAAAATCTAAAATTGAAAAAATGAAAAATTGGAAAATCTAAAAACTAATGAAAAATTGGAAAATTGCAAATCGAAAAATTGAAAAAACAAAAAATTATAAAATCTAAAATCTGAAAAACTCAAAAATTGAAGAATTAAAAAATTCAAAAGTCAAAAAAGCTGCCAAAGTGTTATTTTTACAGCACTGGTTTTTACTTTATAGAAGTTACTAGAAAACAAAAATCGTAAAATTTGTTTAAAATTTTCCAAAGCAGGACTGATTGGCCTGCACTTCAGGGGCGAGGGAAGTTCTGTCGAAATAACTTTCGACCAAATTTTTTTTTAAATATACATTTTCAAAAATTTTTAGAGTATGTTGAAATTTTTCGGTGATTACGTGTTTGAATTGAATCGAGTTTGAAAACCAAGTTAGCCGTTTTTACGGTTATTTTGGTGACCTTATTATGAATAAATAAAAATAAGGTGTGCGAGAACGTGTTAACAAATGTGTTTATTCCACTAACGAAACCTAGAACTAAAACTCATTACTCGAGTATTTAATTAAAATGAAATTATGCATGCGTGCCACAACAAATAATTTAAAATTAACGTCAATTGAACCGCGTTGGATATTTCGTGATTCTAGGAAAAAAAATACATACTTGTTGCATCTGATTAATCATGTACATTAACGGATTTGAAGGAGTGGTCTGTTGCATAAACTGAAGATCTGGAGGTATTTGTTGTTGCTGCAAAAATAAACAAAAATAAAACCCCATTCACAAAAACCCTCTCCTCCTACCTGTTGTTGCAACAATAACCTTTGTGCGGCCATTTCCTGCTGCTGCAACGTGAGAGCACTCCAAGGTTCGGCTAGATTTCGCAAGGAAACTTGCTGTTTAAAAGCTAACTGTGACAAAAATTGATATGGCAACACATCATCAGGCAACTTAGCAGGCTCGTTCTTTAACACCGGGAACCTTATGTTCGATAAAAACGGATTTTCGCCGCCACACAAATTAATTAATTCGCCTAACAGAAAATACCTTTCGTCGCATTCTCGCATCACGTTTAACTGATTACTAAAATAACCCGCTTTGTACCACTCGGCCATTTCGACGTTTGCGAAGGGCCCTTGTCTGGTGCCCTGCGGGTCTTGGTAATACCACTTGTCCTGGGACGGTGGCACTAGATTAGGTGGTGGTTGTACGCCCCCCACGTCAAAGTTTGGCGTTTGCGAACTTTTGGGAGTTTCTTCGTCCACGACCAACTTCAACACAAGATCTTCCTGCAGACGATCGAAGTCTTCGTCAGATTTGTCTCTGTAAGACAATTTGTATTTACCGCGTAAAGAGGTTTTTTTTCACTTACATGTTTGGCGTCATTGGTTCTAGAGGGGGGCCGTTGCTACTCGGTTTTTCTAAGAGTTGAGGTCTTAATTCCTCGGAAGATCTGTCGTCTTTATCGTCTATTCTTCTATCCGATTTCTGAAGTGAAGGAGGTTTGGTTTTGTCTTTCTCTGGAGAGCTGCTTTCCTTGGGTTTGGCATCATCTTGTTTCGTATCTTGGTCACTGGGATCCTGTACACGGTGTTTTTTTATTAAACAATACACGCTAAGAGTTAAAAAATTATTAGAATATTGGCCATTTAGACACGCTTAGAATTAATTTCGTTTTACAATTTTACAAGTCATAAATAGCAGATATAAATAGTTGACACAAACATCGGAAGTGACACATTTTATGTAACATAGCGTAGAAGTTCTTTCTTGCTAATGAAATTTGTGCAAAAAATATCACTGCTTAGAAAAGTTAAGATACTTACTTTTAAAATTTACTTACGTTATAATTGTAAAAAAAAATCATACTATTCTGCATAAAAGTCGTCGTTTCAAATTTGACAGTAATATTTCGCGTCAAAAACGACAACACGAGCGTCAGTTGAGTTTTCTTTTTTTTTTTTTTTCTTACAATTAAAAGACGATTTTTGTAAAAAATCCAATAATGTAGTTGTAAAATTTGAAGCCAAGTTTTTGTCTAAAAAAAAAGGAACGTCACTTTTTTTAGTTCATTTAAACTTCGAAGAGGAAAAAATTCGATTTGAAAAAACAAAAAATCGCACAATGGAATTTTATTGTATCTACTTTCTAGGATTCCTGTTTTCCATATGAAAAATACATCTATTAATTTTTCAGAGCTTCTAAAAAGGCTGTTTTATTAAAATTCTCTTAGCTACAAAAATACAATCATGGTTTAAGAATTCACGAGAAAATTGAGAAAGAAATCCAATCCCTACCAGTACTTGTTAAGATAAGATTGATTTTGGTAAATGACATATCCTCTAAGAAAAAAAAAGGTGGTAAGATAGGACTGAACAACTTTAAGAGTAGTCACTGGAACGAAGAAGGGGGGGGGGGTAGGCGTACTTCTTGCTCATAAAACTAGAAAAAACTAAATTTAGCCCCGCCCTCCTCCTTTCTCCATTTTATGACTTAATTTTATTTGGTGTAAAATGGAAATTTAAAAATAACAGTATTGTATTCCCAAAATTTTCTGGAAAAATGGAGTCCCTGATTTAATCAATAAAATAAATTGACTCATTCATTATTTATTTTTAGCCACTTGTATAAGCAAATCTAAAAAATATTAATGCGACAAATCACAAGTAAAAAATCATCGTATTTTGCACATCTTAGGTAAAATTTATTCGGCAAAATTTTGAGCTGACGTCAACAATTTTTTAAAGGTGATAAGCAAATATATTTTGATTAAAAATTTATCATGCTTACCATAACATCCGCAAGATTTCAAAGCATTCGGTTTTGCAGATTCAAAACTAAATTGCAAAATATTTTTCTCACAAAAATCTAGACGTCTCGGGTAAAAACTCAACACGGAGTCATAAACTACATGTGTACCCACTTACTATGTACATTTTTGAAGTGACAAAATTTGGTTGGCGTTTTCCCATCTATGTCATACTCATAATGTCGAAGTTTGTATAAATGAATAAGACCAGCGAACAGTAAGATAAATGTATATTGCTAGTGACAAGTGTTATGATAAATAAGAATGATAAGGATAGAATATTATGTGACCGTGCGGTCGAGATAGTTGAATGTTAGTTCCGAATTGAGAATTGAGAATTGAATGTGTATGTATGAGTTAAGAATTAAGAATGAATGCTACCCTGTGTTCCAAGGTGGGGGTGGCTCTGGCTCCCACCCTTACGGGTGGGGAGGGGTGAAACAGGTCCCCGCCAGAGGCTCTAACATACCCCCCGCCTTGAAACAATTACATTGTTTTAAGACCAAAAATAAAATATATGGAATATTAGAATGAAAACATTATTTAGTAATGATAAATACAGATGAAATTACATGAATTGGGTGGACATTGTTACAGAAAGCAATGAACCTGAAGAAATGCATTAAACTTAAAAAAAAAGATATCTAAGACAAATTACATTGGTACAATATCAGCGAATACACATTATTTACAATATACCTAAAAATAAATTTACAACAATTATAATGTACCAAATCAATGAATAATACGACGAGTAAATAATATGGCGAATGAATATAACAATGGTACAAATATGAATACATAGAACATAGTAAAATAAATCAACAATGAGATGTATATAACAAATTGACAAGATGTATGCAATATGGTTAAATATAATTATAATGCATGCGATTGCGAAATTATCTTTGTCACTTCACCGACACTACACACACCACCACTTCCTTTCCAAAATGATGTTGGAGGGCCGCGTCCTAACCGCCACTGTAGACGCGGAAAATTCTCCTCCTTCACGAGGACCCATCTTGCCATTCCTGGAACGTTGGAAGATGGCCTTTGCGACCCTAACCTGCCTTTCAGTGTGGTCAAATATTCGAGGTACCACGACTTCCAGAAGTGTTGATGGTAGGCGTGGATGAGGTGCCAAGGGATGGCCTGTTGATGGGAACGACGGCGTGGTCTTTTCCTGAGGGACCAGTTGATGGCTGGCCGAAAGAGGCATTGGTCAGGTATAAATGCGACCAAATTATTGCGGTCGCTGGACAGCGGCTTCGAAAGGCGCGAATTCAGGACGGCTTTAACTCTGACAATGAGCGCATACACGCCCTCGCCCTCAAGATGGTTTTTATCAGTAATTTCGTTATACTTCCGGCTATTCATATTTAAACTCTTTGAACTAAGATTTGAACGGTCAACAACCTCGCAAAGTTTAGTGGCAGAAATGTGAAGATTTAAAACACAATTGTGTGACAGGTAAACGGAATTATTTGTGGAATTTTCGTTAAGTACCTTCAGCCGCACAAGGTCTAGGTACTTCCTTTGAGAGACAATAAAACCCTCGTTACGTTTATGATCACGTTCCTCTGCTAACAATAACAGTTGGAGAGCCAGTTCTCGGGAATTTCCTAATTTAGGTAGATTTTCGAAATAAGGGACTGTGGAACGCCCCAACTTCCTCTCGACTGATAATAGCCACTTTGGGTGCATTTGTGCAAAATTCTCTAACCGCGGCTGATTTTCCGAAAAGGGGTGTTTGACCATGAAATAGCCATCGGGTGAATGGCCTGTGGTAGTATACTGAAAAGGGGTTGCACAAAGATCGCTTTTAAACCCTTTGCTTAATGACCTGCTTCCGGTTTTGACGGTTTCAGCTTCCCAGAACCGAGAAATAATTTGGGCTGAACTAATTTTGTGATGATGGGAAGTATTATTTTTTAAATATGCAAAACTGCCGCTAAGAATCAACCCCAGCGCGGTATTTTGACGCACCGGTGGGTTTTTACTGGAATGACTTTTTATTTTGGGTTTAGCATTTTCGGAATGTTTTTTCTTGTCGAGTATTGCTACGTTTGACGTGTTGTCTTTAATATTTGAGTCTACGGATTCACATAAATATTGCGACCTAATTTTAAATTGGTTACAGACTAACAATGAGTCACAGTTTTTCGAATTAACTGGAGGACTTTTTACTTTGTCTAGTGCGGTAGATGACTCTGCATTAGACGTTTTATCTGAATTAATTAGAGATATGCCCTCGGACTTGTAACAATCATTAACAGGATGATTTTTATCTTCATTGGGTGTTGAATTTGGAAATGTGGAACAATTCGATATTATAATAGAAGTTTGTGAATCAATGGAATTCGGAGGGGATTTTTTACCAATAGTGAACCTCAATTCACGTAGAGCATTGAAATGGGTTTTGTGAATTTTGATGGGTTCTCCATTTCTTAATTTGTGTACCTTTAAAGGCTTTAAATTTTGACAAGTTTTTTCCAGATCCGTGGTTGGTACGTTAGTATTTATCTTACATGAATTCGAGAAAGTACACAATGGATTAGTTTTTTCAATGAGAACATTATATAATTGGGATATTTTTTGAATATAATTTAGCACGTCTCTGATATTATAAATTATAGGTTTGATCGTTTCCGTGTCACTCGTGTCATTCGGGACTACCATTGTTTCGGATTTTTGCTGAACTACAAGCATTTGTAATTCTGAATAAATTCGCTGTACGTCTTCATATCGACGCTTTAAGTGGCTTCTTTTTTGATGATTTGCAACATTTGATATAAAATTAGAATGTGAATCTATTTCGCTGAGAAGAATTGAAAATTTAACAAAAGTATTGTCTTGGATTACTACCATCTTGAGTACGAGAATAAATGTATTACACCAACCAAACAGAATTAAAGCTTACCTGGAATCCTGGATTCCTGGATAGAATTATCTTGGCTGACGCTGAATGATACTTGAGGATTTTGCACAGCACTCGCGGTCGTCACCGATAGTTGAACACTGCGCGGGTGATTTCTGGGTGATGTTTTGATAACTACTTTGCTGAATTCCAGCCGATGAATGATATGTTGAGAATTACACTTATCACTACCACTGTTATTCTGTCGCTAATCCGGCTCGAAGGACCATGTCGAAGTTTGTATAAATGAATAAGACCAGCGAACAGTAAGATAAATGTATATTGCTAGTGACAAGTGTTATGATAAATAAGAATGATAAGGATAGAATATTATGTGACCGTGCGGTCGAGATAGTTGAATGTTAGTTCCGAATTGAGAATTGAGAATTGAATGTGTATGTATGAGTTAAGAATTAAGAATGAATGCTACCCTGTGTTCCAAGGTGGGGGTGGCTCTGGCTCCCACCCTTACGGGTGGGGAGGGGTGAAACAGGTCCCCGCCAGAGGCTCTAACACATAATATAAATACAAAATTTGACAACAATCGGCCCGTACTTTAGGAAATTATCTGTCTAATAAAAATCTGGGACGACAGACAGACGGACAGACGGACAGACAGACAGACATACACACGTAAAAGTAGAGAGTCGGCCGACGGACTCGATTCGCTTACGTTTGGGAAGTAAAAAACACAAAATTAATAATCTACTTTAATTCGCTATAATCGCACTGCTAAAATTGCTGCATTTTATTAATCTCTTTACAACTGATTTGTTTACCATTTCGATGAGCACATATTTTCCCTGACCCAGACAGAACACGATATATTATTACGATTTTTTGTTGTTTTTT